GAGAACGCAGTTTTCTCCTTAGGTAAAATCGGCATGATTTTATCCCACTTCTGACACCAATTGTTACGAGCTTGCGGTTCGTGACAATAAAAATTGCCGATAAAATTATCTAAATTAACACTTTAATTTACTTTACACAAATTAAAACTAAAAACACTAATAATTAAACACACTAATTCACTTAATTCCGCTCCGAAGCTTCGCTTGTGTTGCCGAGTTCAACTCTGCCCGATCGCATCTTGCAGCGCATACTTATATAAATTAGCAAAATATCCAGGATGTTCAAGTAAACACGCGCAAGGTACCGAGAGTTCGAGTTTTAAACTTCAAGAAGTTTAGTTCTTTGGTTCGAGACTAGATGGCGCTAGTGCGCCGATTTTAGCGCGTAACAATATATATTACCATTTTTCTTTTATATATACGATGTGAGGTAGTTACTTGTAACTTATATATAAAAAAAACCATTTCATTGTAAACAAACAATAAGTGAATTGACATGACATTGGATAACAGTTGCACATTTTTATTTCTTTCTTCGGCGTAGTCAAAGGTCTCATAGTCATACAGCCGTACCTTATGGAATTTTTGACTTCTTTTCTTATTACAAAGCAACATTTCTATAACAATTCTCTTTGTGCTTATTACATATTTTTATTTGTAAAATGCTATTTGTTTACAGTTTTTGGTAATTTTGTTTTGTTTAAAAATTGTCTCTTTTTTTATTTCAGTTATTCTGAAACATCTAATATTATTATTATTATTTTTGATTCATCTCTTTCAGACTGCTGGCGGGATAGAGATTTGTTTAGGTACTTACTTATATATTTAATTTAACTATTTAGTTTTATATTTATATATCTTATATATTATATATTTTATTTCATTTTACTATGTTGTTAGATAATTATGATGTAGGTAATGATTCTGACGATTTCCTGTCTTTGTTGTCAAATGATAATGCATCTAGTGAACTCAGCTTCCACAGTACAACATCCTCAATTACGATAAATGTAGCACTTAATTCATATTTCTCAGATTCCCTGAAAAACTTTAATGTAATTCATATAAACGCCCAAAGCATTCCGGCTCATTATCCCGACATGCTTGCGTCCTTTGAATCCCATAACATTCACGCCATTCTAGTCTCTGAATCTTGGTTGAAACCACGCTTGCCATCCACTTCTTATTCATTACCAGGATTCCATCTTATTCGCAACGACCGTATTGGAAGGGGTGGTGGAGGTGTGGCAATCTATCTCCGTTCTTATTTACCTTTTGCGGTAGTAAGCTTGTCCCCCCAACCATCTCCTTCTAATGCGGCTGAGCATCTCTTCATTGAAGTAACCCCATCCAATACGAAAATTCTTCTTGGCGTTTGTTACAGTCCTTCTCTTCATATTGACTATTTCTCTTCTTTCGAATATTTATTAGAAAATTTAATCCCATTATATACTCACACTATAATCATGGGTGACTTTAACACATGCCTACTCAAGGGTGACCATCGGCGTGAAAAGCTGAAATCATTAACCGAGGCATGTAATCTACATATATTACCACTATCTGCTACGCATAAAATGCCTGACTGTACTCCATCACTACTTGACTTAATTATTGTATCCTCTCCAGATTTTGTCCTGAAGCATGGCCAGCATGACGCTGATCTCTTCTCTCATCATGATCTCTTGTTTCTTACATACAAGGTCCGTCCTCCTAAAGCAAAATCGAGAATCCTTCTGCAACGTAATTTTGGTGGAATGGACAAAGAACGTCTTCTGGAAGATGCTAGTCGCATGGACTGGTCAGCTGTTGAAAATGCTTCAACAGTCGACTTGAAAGTCGAGTTATTTAACTCCTTTCTCATCCAACTTTATGACATCCATGCCCCAGTAAAACCAATAAAAATGAAACAGTTACCTGCACCTTGGTTAACTGATAGTCTAAAAAAACTTATTATAAAAAAAGGATTTGCTAAAAGTAAGTTAAAAGCTGATAAATCTGAGAAAAACTTACGATATTATAATAAAGTACGGAATCGCTGCAATACATTGTGTAGGGATGCACAAAGACGCCATATTCACAAATCCGTCGAAAACGGCGACGCAGCCAAAGTTTGGAAGTTTCTTCAGTCTCTTGGAGTTGGTAAAACATCCAATAATTCTCCTCATCATAATGTTGATGTTGAATTCCTTAACAAATATTTCACCTATTTACTCGAACAAAAATTACACGAATTTGAGCAGGTATCAGGTATCTCGTAAACACAATATCGAGATTGTAGGCGTTGAACAGCTTCCCGGTGAAAATGTCACAGAGATTGTCTCAAAAATAGGCGATGCAATTAAAAACATAACTTGTAAAAAAAACCAAGTCTCGCAACTCAGTTCTTCTACCGTAAAAAGTTGTGAGATCCATGTAATATTAAGTCGGTTAATTTATTTAGTTCCTACTTAAGGGTCCTTCTGTTTTAAGTTATTACGTAATTAGCTAACCTAAAACATTTTATAGTGACCATATCAATGTTAAAAGTCTTTTATGTTTTAAATATATAGATTGACTTGGCCATCGCCTGAAACCACAATGTATCTCACAAGTAATACGTATTATATTAAATTAGATTGCTTAATGCGATTGCCAAGTCAATCTATATATTTAAAATATAAAAGACTTTTAAAATTGATATGGTCACTATAAAATGTTGTTAGGTTAGGTAATTACGTAATAACTTAAAACAGAAGGACCCTTAAGTAGGAACTGAATAAATTAACCGACTTGGTATTACATGGATCTCACAACTTTTTACGGTAGAAGAACCGAGTTGCGAGACTTGGTTTTTTTTTTACAAGTTATGTTTTTAATTGCATCTCATTTCTTTTTGTATATAGATAGTTTATTTTTTTGATTTTTTTGAGTTGTAATAATATACAAGTAATGGTTATTCACTGCAAATGTAACTTTGTAATCTATATATAAAGGGATTACAAAGTTATTTATGCAGTTAGTGTATCTAGAAAACTGGACAGAAATTACAATGTTTAGTTTTTTCTTGATTTATACTCTAAACACTAATTGAATTCTAAATTTGAAGCTTCTATGTCTGCTAGAAGTGCCTTAGAGTTTTGATGATCGGTCAGTCAGTGAGTGACAAAATTAAGAAAGTTTAACTGGTTACAATTCTTAAACTACTGGTTCAAATTGAATGATTTTTTAATTTTGAAATATACCATATCTATACAATGCTTACTTGGTTACTGAAAATTCAGGCTTCTAGTTTTATTGACCACGAAGTTATAGGGGGTCGAAAATGACCTAAATTGCTTCGAGAAAAGATGGTACGGCCGTGCCGCTTTTTTGCTCGATTTGGCGGGGGCACTGCCGTGCCCCCAGATATTATCAATGTGAGCAGTTCGGATATAGAATGGGCTAGACGTACTCGATCACTAAAAGAAATCAAAAAACCCACCGCCAATTATAGTTGGCTTTAAGACTACGTCAGGTCGAGGGACAGCTGGCTTGCTCAGCGTCGCAACTTATCAGACACGACGAGTAATATGATTACAAATGGTTCGGCTTTGAATAAAATCTACATAAATGAAGACTTGACCAAGACAACACGAACCCTGCTATGGTGTACTAAGAAACAATTTCAAGGTATTTATAAATACATATGGGTCTCGAACATCGTCAAAAAATGTGAAGGAGAAAAAGCAATATGCGAGCGAGTTGAAAGTGACATTTGTGATCTACTTAACAAAAAGTGAAAATATCTATAATATATCTACAGTGCTTATAGTGTTTATTTTTCATATAAATTCACGGACATAAGCAATATCGATCCATATTACGCGATGAATCTGTAAGTTATACGTGTCTTGATAGCATAAATACGTGGGTGCAACAAGTGCACAATATCAAGGACTTACGTTTATTACATGTGAATATACGATCTTTAAAAAACATTTTAATGAATTCCTAGTTACTCTCGGTAGTAATTTGAGCCAATTGGATATCATTGTGACAACTGAACCAAACATTATTTATTCTGTATTATCTTTCTACAAAATCCCTGGATTCAAAGTAAATATTTATACCCGACAAGGACGTAACGGCGGAGATGTACTTGTGTATTCCCGGGCGAAGCTCACTGCGCATGTAAGCAAAACGGCTGAGCTCGCAAGTAGTGTATGCGCTCGGCGGAGTGCGTTTCCATTACACTTAATATTAATGGGGAGCATATTTATTTAATTTCTATTTATAGACCGCCTCGTTTCCGCAACCAGGACAGAATTCGTGATTTTCGTGTTGAATTATGAAATTTATTTAGCAAATTACCTAAGCACTCAAAAGCAATATTCTGTGTTGACATAAATATCGATCTTTTAAAATATCAGGATAACAATGTCAAATTGAATGAAAATATAACGGCGGAATATGGTTTTGCCAGGTGCATATGCGATGTAACACGAAGGGAAATAGTCATGGGTAACATTGTAGAATCGTGTTTGGACCATATTTATATAAGGGCACCTTTGCTTGTCATTAGTTGAATCAGCTGTAATACAACGTAAGATATATGACCATTACTATGTATCGGCAGCGATACAATGGAAACGCGCTCCTTCCGTGAGTCATATCACCCACTCCAATAGTCGTACGCCGATGCGACCTGTCAATAGATTCGTTCTGAATAATCGTTTAGTTAGAGAAAATTACTATTAACAGATTTTGATCATTTGTTGAATATTGAGTGCCCAGTTGAGTTGTACGAAGCTTTTTCTAGTATTTTTACTAATATATATAATGAATGTTACAAATCGCAAACGGTTGGGGTAAATAAAAGTGTTAGAAATAAAGGATGGATAAGTGAAAATTTAAAAGGGATGATTTTAAAAAGAGATAGGTTATTTGTTGTATGGTGCAATGAACCAAAAAATATGATAAAGAGATTAAATTATACTAAATATAGGAATAAATGTAGTAAGGCTATTTTTAAATGTAAAATGAAATATGATAAACAAAGTATACTAGACTGTAATAAAAATATAAAGAAATTATGGGATAAGATAAATAGTTTACTGGGTAATGAAAGAAAATCACTAGACGACTTAATACTTTCTAATATGAGAAACCAAGGTAGTGTAAAAGAAATTTGTGATAAGTTTGCTGATAACTTTTTAAGTGAAGTCGACCTCATAAGGCACACATGTACGGAAAAATGGTTAGTGAGGGACAATTACGTGGACAGACCTGACGTATGTATGAGATGGCAACCGGTCTGTAGTGGAGAAGTCAAACGTGTTATTAATCAATTAGATAAAAATAAATCGCCGGGAACTGATCTCGTACGGATGTCAGACTTAAAGTTAGTTGTTGACAAAATAAGTCCTGTCATAGCTAATATAGTTAACTTGTCGGTAAAGCACCATAGATATCCGAATAAATTAAAAGAAGCTATAATTCGTCCAGTCCATAAAAAGGGTGATCGTAAATTTTTTTCAAACTATAGACCAATTGCTATATTATCTAGTATTGATAAAATTATGGACGAATGTGGCGTGGGACAACCGTTAAACCAGTGGTTCCGTGACTATCTTGCATCACGCATTTTCCGTGTAAAGGTTGGTGACACGTTTAGTGAGGCGACTGAGGTGAGGTGCGGGGTGCCACAAGGCTCGGGATGTGGGCCTATTTGCTACTTACTGTATGTTAACAGCTTATGTGACGTACTTCAGCATAGCTCTGCATACATGTTCGCAGATGACCTATGTACATTACGTGCTGGCACTAATCTCATGGAGACATGTCACCATTACAGCAAGACATAGAATCAGTAGTTAAATGGTCCCATGATAACGGTATCGTCTTAAACTCAGATAAAACCAAGTATCTTATCATTCAGTCGCCTTATCTACGTCCTACTGACTCGTCTCCTCAAATGTATACTCATAACTTTGAGTGCCTCCATAATGGTCTAAATAATTGTCGATGTGAGCCTATTGAAAAAGTCGATTGTGTAACCTACCTCGGAGTTAAAGTTGATACTAACTTCTCGTGGTCTAGCCATGTAGATTATGTATGTAATAAGTTAAGATTACTTCTAAGCAAATTTCATCACTTAAGTTTTAAAGTTCCTTCTGCTACATTAAAATGCTTATATTTTTCATTGGTAGATTCGATTTTGGGATACGCTCTTGACAGTTATGGTCTTACATTTAAAACCTACATTGATAAGCTTGAAGCATTACAAATTAGATTTTTAAAGTTACTTGTTAATAAAAAAAAACTAAAGCTATTTGTAGAAGCGATTACACAAAACTATTTAAAATCTGCAAAATACTTCCAGTTAGTTTAAAACATAAATATTTACTTGCCATAAACAATTATAACTGTCGAGACTGTACTCTAACATTGGTCAAGCATGGTCAGGGTACACGGTCGATGTCTGCAGGCAAATTTGTTGTACCAAAAGTAAATAACTACTTCGGGGATAGAACTTTAAAGAAACGACTACCGTACTTTTTCAATAGTTTGCCTGAGGACATTCGACGTGAACCAGTAAAAAACATATTTAAAAATAAATTAAAGAAATATTTATTGGCAAGTCTCAGTGCTTAGCATTAATATTATTATGTAAATGAGACTCAAATGTTCCTGCAGACAAACTGTGTAAGCAGTTTTTGGGAATATGTATATTTAAAAACTAAATTTTGTATTTTTATTAATAAATAAAAAAACCACACCATCTGGATGGTTGGCGGTCAACCACTGTGCGATTTACTAATAGTTTTCTTCCTTGCGCGACTATTTGTACAGTCGTCTACCACCGGCGATTTTTTCGAACTGATACGAATTAAGGCTCTTCAATAAATGAGCTTACTCTTTTTTAATATTTACGAACATCAGGTGAGTCGCATGCTCGTTTGCCCTCTCTTCTATAAAAAAAATACTTCAGGCACAGAATACTACGTACTACTACAGGCTATAACTTAAATACTTGATAATAATAAATTAATACATAATTTAATATAAAAAACTGTATCTATATTTTTTTAAAAAATTAAAATTTTAAAAAATAAATAATTAAAAAAATTTTTTTTAAATTTTCTTTTTTTGGGGGGGGGGGGGGGGGGGTGGTTTTTTTTTTTTTTCCTATTTACTAATAATACAAATTGTGAAATAACTTAGCCTGTCAGACTGTCTGTTACCTTTATTACCTTTTAACGCCGGCTGAAAGCTCAAGCTAAGTAGTATATGAAGTAAGCTAGTAATATATAAATACCCAGAAAGTGTATTATTGGGCTGGGCAGGCACAGGTAAGACAGACCGGACGGGTCGCATGTTCATAGTTAAACTAGGGCTATTAGAATTCTAAATTATGCACTAACTATGCCACTGCGTCAATACGACTGCACGTACCTAAAACAATTTTTGCCTTATGGCATACGTTGCTAAGTTGTAAGTTCCAGGTTGTTTTTTCCGATTGTTACGCTCAAATACTTAACTTCAGCGGTGAATGGTACTCTTTACCATTAGCTTCGATGTAATAATGTAATTTGTCCTACCTTCTCTTTTTGGTAAAGGGTATTACAATAGTTTTATCAGCATTAATTGATAAACTATTATCCCTATACAAGTTGTTTATGGTGTTTAGGGCTGTTTGTATGATGGTCTAAGATAGTCTATGATATATATATATATATATATATATATATATATATATATATATATATATATATACCGCTAGTTTCCTCAGCTTGGCCATTGCAGTTTTTTTTAGTTTTACCGAGTTATCAAGCAGATGTACATCTGTTTCAGTTTTCCAGTCATTTTTACAACACCACAGGAGGATATTATGGGACAGTGAATTGTATTACGTCGTCCTATGCTCCGCGACTGACGGAATCGCAGTGTTGATGTGGTTGCGGCGTGGCTGCAGGGGAAATGTGTAACGGTATCGCGAGACGCCTTTCTCCCTACCCTCCGCAGCCAAATGAAATCTTGGTAAGCGGCGGACCAGATCCACCGCTAGGATCAGGAAATCTGGTGCTTCTGAGGGCTGATTTTTTTCTGGCCTCGTGGCGGTCTTAAATTCAGGAATTAGCATTTATTTATGTATATCTATTATCGTCACTGCGTTGCTAATTTCAAATTTGTTGCGGTGAAAATTTAAGACAACCTAATTTTTAAACTTTACACCTAAAATAAGACACAGAGCTTTACGAATGAACGTGGCGAGGCAATTTTTATCAACTTCTAGAGGTGATTAAAATTACCTTTTTATATTATTCTTTCAATATAAAACTAATTTAAAAGTTTAGATTATTTAAATTAAAAATTTAGTCAATCTTGAACTGAATTTCTTAGCTTTCGACTTCGGTCGAACACAAGACATGGTAGAGCCATGCTGCAACAATATTGTAGTTGTAGCATGAATGGGTCGGCTCGACCGGGGAAGAACCACGCTCTCACAGAATACCAGCGTCAAGTAGTAGCTTAATGCTGCTGTGTTTTGTATGGTGAGTTTAGAGAACCAAAGACCCTTTTTAAGTGGAAACTAGGCGTTCCAACTTAGTTCTTAGAGACGACAACGCATCATCATTCACCTTCTTAACTTGAAGATAGATTTAGGTGTTTATGGGCCACAGCCAGGCAAGGCGTGGTCCATAAACACCTAAAAACCGTTTATACGTGGTACAGCCATGCTGCAGTTATATTAGTAGTATAGTTGTAGCACGAATGGGTCGGCTCGACCTGAGAAGTACCACGCTCTCACAGAATACCAGCGTGAAATAGTAGCTTGATGCTGCTGTGTTTCGTATGGTGAGTTTAGAGAACTGGAGAACCTTTTTACTGGAAACGAGGCATTCCATCTCAGTCCTCAGGGGTGACAACGCATTCGCATTTTGATTGTAAATTGAAGATAAATCTAGTTGTCTATAGGTCACAGCATCCACTTACCATCAGGTGGACTGTGTGCTCGTTTGTTACCCTATTCTATAAAAAAAGCAAGTGGATTGCCATCAGTTAACTGTGTGCTCGTTTGTCAACCTCACTCTAGAAAAAATATTTTACTTAAAGATTAATATTACCATAATAAGAATGATCTATTCTAAGTACAATTAACAGTTCAATACTGGATGTAATACCAAATTAAGCTTTTTAAGAAAATGTGTTTTAGAACAAAAATGCAACATTTGTCTAGAAATAAATCGCATGCATTAGATTTAATTAGATATATTTTCATCAATAGATATTTACAGAGATCACAACATTTATAGTCACATCGTACATCTACATGCTTTTTATTTATTCTTTATTTTCCTTCATAACTAAACAGTAATGACATACTAGTTCATTGATGGCGAATCTATGACCCGACTATTCCAAGCTTAATATATAAATAATAAAAGGGATATAAATAGAAAATAAATACTTTAAAAAGCGAAGTATATAATGTTTATCTATTGTATTAAAAAACTATTTGAAAATAAACACCAAAATATTTGTCATTAAATACACATCAAATTTATTTTACATATTGTATAATACCCTTACAAAATTTTAAAGTAGAGTTACAGCCTATAAACGTCCCAACACTGGGACGTTTATAGTATAACTCCGGTTTATAGTATATTCCTGAGAGGGTTTTAGGGCAACAAAATGTCCGCCGTGATTTCATTAATGCTGGCGAGGGTCGAATCCGGGTTACTCGTGTAACGTGGAATTTACATCGAGTCCTTAGCCCCGGAGGTATAATGGCTCTATTATATCTATTACATCTACACTGTGGCAAATATCCTCCATATGAAGCAACATATGGGGAGACCTATGTTCAACAGAGGGCTTTGATAGGCTGCTGATGATGATGATTCAAATACTCGGTGCAACGGCGACTGCTGACTGGCCATGGTGTTACCGAGTGCTACCGCATGGTATCACCAACTTATACAGGGTGTTAGTGTAAACACCGTTATCCTTGAAATCAGTGGTTTAGTATCACTTATAGAACGTAAGTTCAATGAATTTAAAAAAAACGCTATTTTCTTTCATAAAATTTAAAAAGTTTCTGTCCGACACCGTCCGTAAATTCATGGATACCCTATGCGGCCGAGTGACGTAATCATTGTAAAGATCACCGCCCGCGCTAGCTACGTACACAACATTCCAATAAAAATACAATAGGTACACATAACCTGTGATGTAACTTTTCCTTCATACTTTCATCCTGGCTTAGGACAGGCAAAAATTGAGGAATTCAGGAAAAATTGAGATTTTACTAAAAAAAAATGTTATTTTTCATTGAATTTACGTTCTATAAGTGAAACCAAACCACTGGTTTCAAGGATAACAGTGTTTACACTAACAGCCTGTATAATTTTTTGACGTTGACCTGTATTTTGTGTTCTTTATTTGCAAAAGCAAACGTTGTAAAAAAAGGAAACAAACTTTTTAGAGAACTTTAAAAGTAAGAACCAAAAAAGTAGTTTCTCCGCTTTCCAAGAAATGCCACTGACAGTAATCTATGAGATCGTACAAAAAATTATGAACAAAATCTGATTCACTTCTCAAAAAGATTCACCAACACTGTCCTAGTTCGTCCCATTCATCAATAATACAGTTGTTATTTTTCAAAAAGTAGCCAAATTTTAACTTAAGTTCAAATATATAAATAATGATATACCGTTATTGCAGTTTTTCATAGAGTAGCCAAATTTTAACTTAAGTTCAAATATATAAATAATGATATACCGTTATTGCAGATTTTAAAGATTAGCCAAATTTTAACTTAAGTTCAAATATATAATAATGATATACCGTTATTGCAGTTTTTCAGAGTAGCCAAATTTTAACTTAAGTTCAAATATATAAATAATAATTTTATAATAGAATAATAATTTTAACTTAAGGGCGTATAGTACGTCAAATGGCTTAGCAAGATCCTCTGTTATGCCGAAAATAATGCAGCATTGTTTTTGAAATAAATATATGGCAAAGTTGAGGATTAATGTTAAGTACTATGTTAGACGAAAACACGATTCCATAAAATTATCTCGATAGAAAAAAAATCCAAAGTTACCTCCAAACCGAACTATAAACCGCTGGTATTCAAAAAACACTTCAAATTAGATCATGAAACTTTGCATACTAACTGAACTAACTATAAAGCAGGGCTTATGTTATTTACTTTTTTTTAATTATCATTATTTTCAACGTAAAAGAAAATTACCTAAACTATTGTTTGTTTCCTGTCGCCCAACACCGCCGTTCACTCTGGCTTTGGCCTTTGAACGGAGGGGCTGTGTCACTTGTACTCAGAACATACATTACGCAACAGGACGACGTAAAATTTAAATATTAAGGACGCGTTTACAAAATAGATAGGTATAGAATCGAACTACTACCACAGATTAATAAATAGTTTACTGACACGGTCACACAACACACAAGTGTACGCACGGTTGGCTGCGGGAATCGTAGTCAAATGAAATTATATTGATAATTTGAAAGATTGAATTTCTTTTTCATTTCTTATACCTCAGAAATACGAGTATACTTAGATACGAAATACGAATATCTGCTCCAGAGACTGCTTGGCACTGGAAGCCCTCTACTGGTAGTAAGATGTTAGATGTGTACTTTGGACTGGTTTTGGCAGTTATAATAAGACCTTACCTACCTCCGGACTTGATGGAGTGATCTGAAGGTGTAATTCGGTGATTACAACTGGAACTCCTAGAGTAGTAGAACTAGGTGTGCCGAGTTTGGGTTCGTTTTGTTAGTTAGGATGAGACCTTACCACCGGAATTGATGGTGTGACCTTAAGGTGTAATTCGGTGATTACAACTGGAAATCCTAGAGTAGTAGAACTAGGTGTGCCGAGGTTGGGTTCGTTTTGTTAGTTACGATGAGACCTTACCACCGGAATGGATGGAGTGACCTGAAGGTGTAATTAGGTGATTACAACTGGAACCCCTAGACTAGTAGAACTAGATGTGCCGAGTTTGGGTTCATTTTGTTAGTTATGATGAGACCTTGTTGGGTTAGTAGTAAGCTTGAGTTTTATAGTTTTCGCCGTGTGTGTATGTGATGTGACAGCGGTTTACGTATGTAATTATGTTGGTAGTAGGTCTATGCAAGTACTTACATATACATAACTATATAAGAAATTTTGCAAACCGATTCTAAGCCACTGGATAAATTCTACTACTACAAAAAACTAGTCAATCACGAATTACCATTGCATTGAAGTTCTGTAGGCATTGGCTTGGTGTAGCGAGGCGTCCGGATAAAACCGTACACAGTCAGGCTTTTTGATTGCGTGTCTGGCCAAATTAGACGGTGTCCGGCCTGTCCGGATTTTGTCAGGCTTTTTATATTTGACCATTTTTTTTACATTTTTCATGTACTTAAATACATACTATTGTAATTATTGAAATTAATATTGTAATAAATATTGAACGAATAATAATAAAAAACACTGATTCATTCTATTTTAATTTAAGATTTTTTGGTTTAAAGACCTGACAACCCAAGCTTGGTAGTAATTTTACGCTTTGCATTTTACAGTTTTATAGTTATATTATTTTATACTTTTTTTTGGTTATAAAAATATGCCGTTAGTATGTACAATGAAATTAAATTTGCGACTTATAATTTTATGTTCATATAATGAGAAGTTAATATCAAATTATGACTGAACTTTGAACTTTATTACCTACTTAGTGCTCGTCCGATAATAGTTTATTTTACTCTAACTAACAAAATCGCTTTGACCTCGTGTTCCCGCGTGACCTCGAGCCAAGCATAGTGTGCGAACGAGTGGCGCGGGAAAGTGGAGACGAAATTAGAATTTGAGCTGAGGTAGTATAGGCCCTTAAGTTCAAATATATAAATATTAATATATCGTTATTGCAGTCTTTGAAAATACGAGTAAATAAGGCTTCTACTTTTATTAGGAATTATCCCAAATTGAATTGCATTTACGGGCAAAAACGTTTGTTTTTGCCTACCTTACGAATGTGTGCGTGCGTAGTAAAATCAGCTTAAATAATGCATTAATACACATTTTGAATAATAAGGCAGAATGTTTGAGATTTTTTTAATTAATTTTTCGTCACCATTTGACTATATTACTTACTCTGAACCTTCTCTGCAAATTTGGCCGATTATTGCAAAATAACCCTGTGCAAGATCTCGTCATATTGTGATAGCTAAAACGGCAATATCTCAGTTAATTAAATTTTGTTTCTTGTCCCTTAAACCCATGTTTACAACTTTTCAAAAGCACTATTTTAAAATATATGACTTTTTTAATACAGGATAGTGAAATTCATAAATTAAAATAATTATTGCTTAATACATCGAAATATATCATACAAAATCGACACATATTTTAATAGTTTCTGTCTCATTCGCTTCTTTTTTAAAGTATGACTAAGACAAAGTATGAACAAATAGCATATTATCTAAACCAAAGCATTTAAATCATTGATGATGAGCTATTCACTTTTTTATACTTAATTATATATTTTTGTAAGAAGTCATAGTAATAAAATACAAACATTAATTGAAAGACCATTGTGAAAGTATTCAATTCGATAAAAAAGCAAAATCGATAACTATTAGTAACAGGGATATATTGCGTGTCATATGTAAAAAATATAGTCCCATATTAGTTAAACCTCCTTTTTGGAGTTGGTTAAAGATGAAAACCCCAATTTCTGAAAACACGAATATTATTACAATATTTATAATTCTATAACTTTTATATCTGGTCCCTAAATAACATAATTATGTTTGTCTTGCTACGCCTTTTGTGTACAATAATTAGGATTTTTATTCTGTAAACTAAATATTTTTTATTTTCAAATAAATATTGTATAATTATAACACCTAGCAACAATTGTCTACAAAGTATATAGATACGGCGCGTTGATTTATATGGAGAAATTGGGGTTTAATATCTAAGAATATAATTTATAGATTTGAACCAATGATATTCTAAAGTATAGTTACGTTACAAACGACCAATTGTTAGTTTTTATTCCAACGCAGATATGAAGTGAATGGCAGGATCCTATATTTAGAACCGCTTAGTTTTCTTTTGTGAGCTGTTTTGCAGTAAACGAAGTACATAAAAATCTCTTTTTTAAAAACAAAATACCAGTTTCAACTCTTTATGTATCTTTTAGTTTTTATTTTTATTTTAAGTCATCCTAAGTTGCTGAATGAAGTTTGTAATATAAACAGTTTTACATGCCCTTTTCATGTAATAAAACGGATCGTTACGGAGAAGGAATGTTTCTTTAAATATAGGAATCGTGCATATATGAGATGTGTAAGAAAGAAATGTTAGACGATGAAATAATTTTAAAGAAAGAGATAATTTATCTAGAACGTTCGTAACGTAAATGCCTGAATATGCAGAAAAATTAGTTTTTCTGCGCCATAACCTTCCACTTTAATTATGATAATTTATATGCGTAGACATTTATCTGATTTTTTTTTGTTATCCTTATAATACGGAAGTTGATTATGAAGTTACATGTCACAGTTGTAGCTATGTACTTTAATGATTATAACAAAATAAATGAATATAAAATAAATCAATATTTTTATTTTAACAATTATCTGACTACAATAAAACATCTTACTCAAGTATTCGGTATTCAGCCGAATAGTAACCAGATATTCGGTATTCGGCCGAACACCGAATATTTGCTTACTATTAGTAGGAAAAAAGTAGCCGAATAGGCCGGATACCGAATAATACTTTCAATAGAATCCTTTCTTTTCGGGGATTGCGTTTTAACTAGTGATATTGTCGGCGTAAATCCTTCATCTAGATGCTCTTCTTCTTGACAAGGTTTCGTTTTATTAAAATCCACATGAGCTATATTGATGGGCTGAGCTTTAGGTGGTTTTAATTCAAAATCGTCTACTCTTTATATATATTTTCACAACTAACTTTCAAGTTCTCCCCTTAGGCACCATAAAGATCAATGAAAACTTTGCCTTTGGGCTTGTATAAACATTTAAGAACGTCACACGAATGTCAAAAGTTTTTTTTTTTTTAAATAATTCACTTCAAGTTATATCCGTATCAAATATATGAAAATCGAATAGACAGTTTAGAGTCGGTTTTTCAGCGATTCATTTGTTCTGTGCACAAATTTTAACATTTATTATTACTTTACGAAATATTGGATGCTGTCAGATTGTAATGAATCGTCTTAAATATTGAAGTTTAGTTTCGTTAATGGGTGAAATATATATATTGCAATTTAAATTTTATAGTATAATCCTAAGGCACAGTAACCAAGGTAATAAGTGACATCTACATTTGTCTTGCTATTGGTAAGGTGTGGATATTCCACCAGGATTTCTAAGTTTTCCGGAGTTTTATAATATTTTAACTTATAATACTTAATTTATTGAAATCTACAAAATAAACCATCATAAATATAACCCATCTTCTCTATATAGTCCATATTATAAAATTTCATAGTAATCGATTTTTACTAAAGTAGTTATTATCAATAAAAATAAGCTGTGATTGCCACAAATCTCTTGTCGAGGTAACTCTGTTCAACTTCCACCGAACCGCCTGCTTCTTGAGCCAGTGACAAAATCTGAAAAGAAGTAAAAATTTGTTTATATTAATTGAGCCTAAAATGTTTGACTAGGTGAGTGAGTGGTTCATATAGTGGTCGAATGGAGGATTCATTCCAAGACTAACAATTATTAAAAACTAATTTAATCTAGTTTTACTTATTTATTTAAGTTACATACAATATTAAAAAAATATAATAAAGAAAAATGTGGCGATCTTTAGACAAATATACTTGCTACAATTTAATTTACTACATTAGCCGGCACGACGGAAAACATGAGCTGCTAAGGAAAAGGAACAACAAATAAAAACAGCTCAAGATTTAAAGGAACAGAGGCACTTACCGGGAGTGGTTCTGCGAGCGGCCTCAAGGCCTCGAGGCTGGTGGAACTACGTTGCAACTGGGCGAGCGGTGCGCGACGATAAATGCACTTGTGCACGACAAAAATGCACTGTGCAAGCGGTCACCACGAAAGGTATGAAATGTTTGGGTCTGTGGCTCGACTGCCACAGGGTACTGTCACGGCCAAGATAGCGCTGCAATCGGTCGCACGACGATAACTGCCGATCTGCCGGCGACGTGCTTCCGCCTTTCACTTTTGGCCAGTGCGCCTTCCATTGAGCGAACAAAACGAGGCCACCATGTCTAGCCCCACATTGAGTATGGCCGTGCGGGAAGGGAACGGAAGTGAAGGGAGATTGTACCGGCCAATCTAACCAACTAATTAACACAAATGCAAATGTGTGTTTTGGCGCAACCAGTTATAATTAGCCTTTGAGCGAGAAAAGACCTAGCTCTGTTATCACCAGCAGCGATGACCAGTCGCGGATATATATTGGCTGCGTATGGCAGAAAAAAGCGCTAGCAAGCGCTTGTAAGCAAAATGGCGATCGTAAGCGGTAAGCGCTGTCAAATCGTAAGTAGCTATTTTCCTCTATGTTTGTTTGTAAAGTATTCACATTAAAAACTTACCAATCATGAATTTTTAATAACATGTATAATATGTTTATTCATGTCATTATATTACTTGAAACTAATATTGCACAAAACAACTTACAAACTCTACTTCAAAACAAACAAATTAAATAAGCAAAATGGCGGATTGTGTCAGCGCTACTAAAGTTAGCAAACGTGTCCTGGCGGAAAACTGTTTAGTTTCGCCATTTTGCTTACAAGCGCTTGCTAGCGCTTTTTTCTGCCAAATGCAGCCATTGAAATAATATGATCTAACAATTGCTTCGGTAGCAGGACTTTATAAATGTAGTTATATTTACCTGATCGGATCTCGTGTTCCTAGGCAGATATAATGCGATATTGGATGTTATAGACCTCGCAACTTTCATTAATTCGGAAGCAGGTTTTGGTTCCAGCATTGTTTCTATATCATATTGAGAGTTCTGAAATCCACATAAATAATGAGTTAATCACGAAGCATTGTGTTTTTTTTTTTCAATTAATAATTAGTTATCTATGTAAACATATTAAATATCGTAAACAATCTGATATTTTAGTTGCATGAAATTATTATTACTAATAATTTAAAAATTAAAGAAATATTTTACTATTAATTTATATAGATAACATTGAAATATATATAATATTAAAAAAAAACTATAATAAAAAAATAAACTAAAATTATCATACAATCCTACTCCCCGCAGAATCGTTCCAAGAAAGTAGGCTGCATTTCCTCGCTGAGTGGCTCAACTTAGCCTTTGAGTGAGAAAAGAACCTTTTTAACAAGAATTTTAAACGCCAGGCAAATCCTTTTATCAGTAAGTATTTCCTGTAGTCGACTTTTTAGCAGACTTAAAAAAGGAGGAATTAACAAATCATAAAAAAATTGTTTTTATTAATTAAATTTTAAATAAGTAGGTTTGCTTATAATTTTTTTCTTAACCGCCGAGTACCTACGACATGATAATTTTAAAAGAGCTATTAACAATTTCTTCGGTTTCGGCGAGGTTCATAGGAGCTGGGCATAAGTATTTTACACTTTCCTTTTGCAATTCCTAGAAGTTTTAAAATTTACATTGTCGTAAAATAGAAAAATTACGTTACACGATTTTGAGTTGTTTTTATGTTATTCCTACCCTTTCTTTTCTAAATATCTTATAATTTTATCTTACTGTAATAATAAATTAACTACTATAATTTGTTGTGTAGTGGCGGCTGAGAATATCCACTACCCCATATCTTCCCGTGGGTGTCGTAAGAGGCGATAGAGGGAGGCAGGCAGGAGATGGGCAGCAGCATCTTCCTGATAACAACAACTAAACAATAAAAAAACTGGATTTGCCAACCCGCTAGCCAAGCCTGGCGACTATGGCAAACATGAGGAACGACACAAAATAACGGCCCCCAGTCCCCGGCGGCCCCGCTATTCCTGGCTACTGTGGCGACCATGGTAACGGCGGGGCAGGGGGTGCTAAGAATCACCTACGACGGTTCGACCTGGCAACATATAACGCACGCACCCTGAGGACTGACGAGAAGATACTGGAGCTGGAAGCAGAGATAGACAAGTTGCGCTGGCATATAATAGGATTATCCGAGGTCCGAATAGAGGGGGTGGACACTGTAATCCTCGAATCCGGCAACTTTTTCTATCACCGGGAGGGCGACCATCTGTCCCAAGAGGTGTCGGATTTATCGTCCACAAGTCTCTAGTCAACAACTTTGTAAAGATTGGGAGTGCGTCGACGAGGGTCCCGTACCTGATATTCAGAATCACCAAACAGTATTCGCTGAAGGTCATACAGGTTTACGCACCACACCAACATCGACACATCCCGATGAGGAGGTTGAGGAAATGTATAAGGATATCTCTAGAGCCATACATTCCTCTAAAACCCACTACACGGTGTTGATGGGAGACTTCAACGCAAAACTAGGCACAAGAGAAAGCGGTGAGCTGAAGTTAGGGCAATTTGGAATAGGGCAACGGAACCCAAGGCGCCAGCAGCTGGCCGACTCTATGGAGAAAGAGGGACTATTTATGATGAACTCTTTCTTCCAAAAGCGGCCTTACAGCAAGTGGACCTGGTCGAGCCCTGACGGTTGGACAAAAAATGAGATTGATTTCATTATGACGACCAGACGCCAACTGGTCAGTGATGTCTCAGTAATCGCGAAGGTGAAAACTGGCAGCGATCACCGAATAGTTCGAGGCACACTGAACCTAAACGTTAAGTTGGAGAGGTCTCGTCTAATGAAGTCAACGCTCCGTCCCCCTTGTGCTTTAATCCAAAGTCCCGAAACCTTTCATAACGCAGTGGACGATATAAATGACAAGCTCGTGGAAACTGTCCATGCGATCGCAGCTAAGTTCTGCAAGACCCGCCGCAGAAGAACACAAAAACTCTCCGATCACAGTCTGCTTCTCATGGCTGTTAGACGGGAAATGAAGCTGTTCTCTTCAGCAGATTTGGGTATGCTGCCAACTGAACAGACAGATCTCCAAATACATGCGGCGGGATTTACACAAATTCAGTACAGCTCGTATTGAAGAAGCGATCGAGCGGAACCAAGGCTCCAGTCTTTGCCAAGGATTTGTCTGTCTGAAAGAGCCAACTGTCGAAGCTAAAGACCGAGTGTGATCAGCATCGTTTCTGGGACACCTGAGATTTTGAGTAAGATTGAGAAGTTCTACGAGCAGCTGTACACGCCATCGTCTACGTGCTGTTCTCGAGAGTCATTACGAATCCCCGTCTCGCACTCTGCAGACTCGACGACTTCCAGCCTCCCGAACAAGCCGGTTTCCGAAAAGGCTTTAGCACCATAAACCAAATACATACCCTCCGACAAATTGTACAGAAGTCCGAAGAGTACAATCTGCCACTTTGCCTGGCGTATGTGGACTATGAGAAAGCCTTTGATTCCGTGGAAATTTGGGCGTTGCTACAGTCCCTTCAGCGGTACCAAGTGAACTGACGGTATATCGAAGTGGTGAAGTGTTTGTACAGTAGGGCTATGATGGCTATCCGAGTACAGAACCAGAGTTCGAAACCTATCCAACTGCAGAGAGGTGTAACACAGGGTGACGTATTATCCCCGAAACTTTTCACCGCTGCATTGGAAGACGTTTTCAAGCTACTGGACTGGAAAGGATACGGTATCAACGTCAATGGCGAGTACATCACTCACCTTTGATTTGCCGACGATATAGTCCTTATGGCAGAATCGGTGGAGGACCTAAGCACTATGCAATGACCTCAATAGTGTCTCCAACGGATAGGTATTAAGATGAACATGGACAAAACAAAGATCATGTTTTATGTCCATGTCACACCTATGCCGGTAGTTGTTGGGAGCACTATGCTCGAAGTTGTTGACGAGTACGTTTACATGGGACAAATAGGCCGGCTAGGTAAGTACAACTTCGACCGTTCGCGTGTTCTGCGTTCGGGAAATTACGACACATCTCTTCTTCTCATTCTCGTCAGCTATACCTCTAAACCTGAAAATGAGACTATACAACCAGTGCGTGTTGCCAGTGATGACCTATGGAACTGAGACGTGGTCCTTCACTGCTGGCCGTATGAGGACGCTCAAAGTCGCTCAGCGAGCTATGGAGAGGACTGTGCTCGGGATTTCTCTGCGTGATAAACTTAGAAATGAGGATATCCGCAGTAGAAATTTTTGTAGGAGAAAGTTTTGGCGCGGAACCCTAATACTTTTACCAAAATAAAAATAGCCAAAGTTACTTGTTGTTATTTATGGTTTAGGGGTGGGTCTCATCCCAAATAAATTTGGAGAAAAATTTAGCAATCACTAAGACGACATTGAGATTGTTATAATCCTTAGTCAATTCATAAGGGTAAAAAATATTCTAATAAAAAGTAAACCCTCTTCAAACAACTAAAAAGATTATGTGGTACGTGGTTTCGGCTGTGGTAGGACCACGCTCTCACATAATACCAGCGGTAATCAGTACAACAGTACGGCTGTGTTTCATATGGTGAGGGTAGAGGACGGAGGACACTTTTTACTTTTTTTATAGAATAAAAGTGATAAGCGAGCACACATTTCTCAGGGGCGATAACGCATCTGAATTTTGATTCTTAATCGACGATATAATAATATGTAGATGTCTATGGTCCAGATAAATAACATACTAGTAGACTATGTGGTTGTTTGTCATGTATATAAAAAAAATAGAATAATATCGTCTTTACACCGGCTTCAGAATGTGAAATTATTTTATTCTTTTTAGTTAATTTAATGTCTGCTTTTAATTTTTATTAAAAGTTAATTTTATGACACTCATAGGACGATATGGCGTGATGGATTTACGCCGGGAGCTCGCGGTATAATATTTTTTTAACTTATTATAAGCCAGCGCTTGACCACAATTGCACCTTATGATAAATCATGTAGCCCTAGATGGTGAATCGCACTGTCTTAGAGTAACAAGAGCCTATTCACTTTTGCCTTGAAGACGGCCAGATTGTATTCGGACGGACGGAAAAACAGACGTACTTTGCTGTACGTATTACAATTGTGTATGTGAAATATATTTATAATGATTACGCTTAATACGGCACTTAATTATTTATTTGAACTTAATTTACTTATTTGTATGGAAACAAGGTTAGTACGTAATGGGAGTAAAAAAATGGAATATATGGCATAGATGAACATAGATAACAAGACATGAGTCTTCCTTTTGTCGCGTGATAGACATGCGCTTTATGTTTACTATTTATGGTCATTTGCTCAATGTCTAACAATTACAAAAGACAAAGCAAACCGTTTGGTTCTAATGCGTGCAATATCAACAACAGTAGGGTGAAAACCCGCCGACCGCCTGGTTGTGCAATGGTTGTAAGGAGAGGGAGGAATTAAAGCATATAATTCCTGCGCACACTCACCGAAATGCATCCTATAGAATACTGTAGTAGTTAAATATAATAACGTAAAAGGTAAAATATCCATATTTATCCTTATCTTAAGCCTATAGACTATTGGTATTTAGATGAAAAAGATCTTGCAACTGTTTTAAATTTAATGCACATCCACTTACCTCCGTGTAATTGGGTCCACCCCAAGGCGGACTTAGAAATACCATATCAGCTGTAAGTTCCGGCGCTAGCTCGAAGAAATCTCCAACTATGAATTCAATTTGATCCTCGACACCGTACACTGAAGCGTTGTGCTTTGCCATTTCTATCTTAGACGGGTCAATGTCTATTGCTATAACTAAAAGAAGAAAAATTACAAATTAAGGGACAACGATAAAAACTTCAGAAAGCAGAAAAATTGTAAGTTCTATTTTTTTTTTGTTTAAATACTACAAAATTGATTGTAATATATATTAGGTTTAAAGAGTTTATTATCTCAAAAAATAACAAATATTCACTTATTAAGACTTAAAAATAACATAATTGGTAAAAATAATACATTTAAATACAGTCTTATATGAATAAATATATCGAAATTAGGATTAAAAAAGCACTGTCTAAATTAATGTTTGACAGTGTTTTTTTAAAATTTATCTTTAAAATTTGAAAACGATTTTTCATGAAATACCTCATTCGATAGGCTATTGTACAATAGCGCTCCCTCAAACTGAATAATTTTCGAACCATAAGTTTTAGTCCTAGCTTTTGGTAAATGCAGTTTATGTTTGTTTCGTGTACAGTGTTTATGTGATTTCGTTTTAAAACTAATTTGGATGTGTAAGGAATCTAAGAGAATTTTTCTGACTTGTATGCTCGTTTTGTATTTGTATAATTGACTTATGGATAATGTATCAGTTTTTTTATAGAGCTCTTTAGTAGGAAAGCGGTAGTCAAGTTGGAATAAAACTTTTAATAATTTGTTCTGGGATATTTGAAGATCCTTTATATTAGTTTTAGATGCACTTCCCCATATCTCTATTAAATATTCTAGTAATGACTTTCCTAGTGAGTTATAAATAATATTTCGAACTTTTTAAGGTATACAACGTGTAGATCTGCGCAAAGCTCCTGTCAATGATGTTATTTTTGACTGCAGGTAATCTAAATGAGCTCGCCATGTTAATTTAGAATCTAAAACGAGACAAAGATATTTTTCTGATTCTGACTTTTTAAATTATAAAAAGTATATTTAAAACCTAATCAAGTATTCATTATTGATTTTAATCGCTAAACTAATTTTATAAGTATCAATTATAAAATTAGTATTTAAGGTCAAAATGGTCGAAGGAGTATAATTTATATGTGAAGTGTAAGTCTAATATGTATGCTCCTTTAGTTTAGTAAGTAAGTACGCTACTTTATAACCGTATGTATGCTGAGTTTGCACTATACCTTATATGCATTATTTTAGATTATTACCAGGCATTCATTAAATAGTACGTAACTAATGTAGTCGTTTCCTTGAATAACACCCATTAGGAACCCCAACATTACATGGTGACCCTGCCAGGATACTCTGCCAAGGGGATTGTTAGTTTTAGTATAGTTAACATAACTACTTAATAATATATTATAATGTGTCGGTCAACTGTGGAAAAAGAACAGGTTTTCCTCAGCCAAAACGCGGCTGGAGGCAACAATGACGCCACGTTGAAAGAAATCGGAGGCCACGTGGAGCGGCTTAGCATTGTGACCTATATTGTTCTGGCCATTATTGGACTCGTAGCAGTTTATGTGGGCCTGCGGATGTACAGGAGCTGTCACCGCACATGGATCCAGCAGGAAATTGGGATAAGTACCATGCAGAGAATCAGATCATCCATCAGAGGGCGCACAGAAGGTAACCAGAATCAGTAATTAGAAGTGAATGCATAGTGAAAGTGAAAATAAGTGTTGTGGGTTGTTAATTTTTTCGTAAAAATAATAAATAGCAGTGAGTGAGCCAGTTATGCGGAATCATATTTCATAACGCTATAATTCTAAAGGTGCTAAAACCGCGCGCGGACATTCAGTAATAAGACACCAAACGGAAACAAAAGGCAACGTCGGACTTTTTCTTCGCATTTATGTAGAATGTGTTACATTTGTGCAATTCTATTATTAGATTAAGAATATTATGATTGATATTTTGGAACAAAATTATGTCTGTTTAGTAGAAATACGTAATTATTTAGTAAAAAAAGGACAAACTAGATGTAAGGGTAATGTTATTTCAACTAAGTTAGATCAAGCAAAAAGCGCATATGAAAACTGTTGTAAAATATATTTACTTATTGAAAAAAAGTAAAGATATTAATTTGAAATCGGCAATAGATCTTTATCAGAAAATAAAACAAAAGTACGAGGAAATAGAAAAATTGTGTACTTTTCCCGTTACAGTAGATTTAGGCAAAATGGATTTTGACATAAAGGTGGCGTGTAGTTTGATTCCAGTAATGTACGGTGTAGAGGCCACCACTAAGCGCCTAATAGACTCAGTGGAGATGTATGCTGACATGCTGGACAACCCAGGTAAAGTATTATTTATTACTTTTGCTTTGAAAAGTCGGTTGAATGAAAATGCAAAATTACGAATTGCAAGCTCATACAAAACTATCCAAGAATTAATTGATGATATGAGGAAATATCTTTCTCAAGGTCAAAGAGGAATTTACCGTAGTCAATATGGTAACAATTACCATCGTGGGCATAAATTTAATAACCACTACAATCAAGGACAAGGTTCTAGCGGAAATTCTAGAGCAAATTATCGTCCTTCATATAATAATCAACGAGGAAATAGAGGCTCTAGATATGTTAGGAACCGTGGACGAGGTAAAAACTCATTTCCAGTAGAAAAAGTAGCTGACACTCATCAATGCGATAAAGACGACAATGCAGGTACATCGAATCAGTTTTTTCGATCCTAAGCATTTTATATTATCATTACAAGGTGATGCGAAATATGTTACTTTTTATATTAAAAACATTAAATACTATTGGCTTATTGATACGGGTGCAACATTGTCAATTATTAAAAATGAAGTACTGCCAAAAGATATCATTGTTAATAGAGATAATACTATAATAAATGGAATAGGCGGTCAGCGACGATCTCAAGGTTCTGTAAATTTAATGTTAAAATACGAAAATGCCACGTTTCAGCATAATTTTCTTGTTTTTGATTCGCTACCACTAAAAGCAGACGGAATCATAGGCTTAGACTTTTAGAAAAATTTAGTGCGAATATTGATTTAGGTTGAAATAATTTAACACTTTTTAACAGTAATAAACAACATTATCTACATTTGTTGATGAACATGATAGGATGAAAAATTCTATGATTATTCCAGCACGCTCGGAATCAATTCATTTTATTATTGTGAATGAGGATGTAACTGGAGAAGTAGTAGTATGCAGTAAAGAGTTAACGAAGGATGTCTTTATAGCAAACGCAATAACTACAGTTAGTAATAGTAGAATTCCAGTTAAAATACTTAATGTTAGTGACAAGGAAGTAAACTTGCCATCTTTCACACCAGATTTGAAAAGTTTGTATAATTATAATATTTGTCAATTTAATAAGACCAATATTGACGTTACCAGGGTTAAAACTTTGCTATCTGAATTAAATTTAAATTATTTAGACGGAGAAGAGAAACAATCAATTGAAGCAATTTGTGCAAAATATTCTGACATTTTTCATTTAGAAGGAGATAAGTTAACGACAACTAATATTTATGAGCAATCTGTTGTTTCAAAACAAAACTCTACTCCAGTTTACGTCAAGCCTTATAGGTTACCACAGACACTAAAACCAGAAATAACTAAGCAAGTTGAGAATATGTTAGAAAATGATATAATCGAAGAGTCAAATAGTGAATGGTCCAGTCCAATATTATTAGTATCTAAGAAAAGTAGCAAAGGTAATGAGAAAAAATGGCATTTAGTTGTAGATTACAGAAAATTGAACGAGGTTATTTGTGACGACAAATTTCCTCTACCAAATATTAATGAAATTTTAGATACGCTTACTGGAGCCATTTATTTTACTCATCTTGACCTTCACCAAGGTTACTATCAGGTAAGTTTAGAGCCTAGTAGTCGTAAATTAACAGCTTTCACTACAAATACTGGTCAATATTGCATGAAGCGTTTACCAATGGGTTTAAAGATCAGCCCTAATGCCTTTAGTCGTATGATGTCTGTAGCGATGTCTGGTTTAACTTACGATAAATGTTTAGTATATCAGGACGATCTCATTGTATTTGGAAGAAATCTGTCTTCCCATAACAAAAATTTAATAACTGTCATGGAGAGATTGAGAAAAGTAAATTTAAAACTAAATCCTCAGAAATGTGAATTTTTAAAGAAAGAAATTCTTTATTTAGGACATTTGGTTACAGAAAAAGGTGTTTTACCAGATCCAGAAAAAACAAAAGTATTACGAAATTATCCTACTCCCAAAAATGCTGATGAAGTAAAACGGTTTGTAGCATTCTGCAACTATTATCGTAAATTTATAAGAAATTTTTCGGATATAGCACTACCTTTGAATAAGTTAAGTAGGAAAAATGAACCATTTATTTGGTCTGATGAATGTAAAAACGCTTTTGAATTTTTAAGAAATGCTTTAATATCATCACCAATTTTACAGTATCCCGATTTTTCCGAAAATCATGAATTTATTTTACAAACAGACGCCTCGGGTACTGCTATTGGTTCTGTATTATGTAGTAAAGATCTCAGACCAGTTGCATATGCCAGTAGACCCTTGAATAAAGCAGAAAGAAACTATCTAACTATTCATAAAGAACTTTTGGCAATAGTGTGGTCCGTTAAGTATTTCAGACCATACTTGTATGGAAACAAATTCACCATAATGACAGATCACAAATCATTAATATATCTTTTTGGTATGAAAGATCCGTCAAGTAGATTACTTAAATTTCGATTAACTTTAGAAGAATATAAGTTTAAAATAGTCTATGTGAAAGGAAGAGACAATGTTGTGGCAGATGCTTTATCGAGAGTTTGTATAACGTCTGATGAACTTAAAAGTATGAATGAACAAGTAATGGCTGTAATGACCAGAGAGCAAAAGAAAAAGCTGAATGAGTTAAGTAAGAGTAAGAATGACGATGAAAAGAAGGATCTTAATAAATCCATTAACAATTGGCCTGATCAACCAAGAGTTGTGGATATATTAAGAAAACCGTGTGATTCAGTAGAAATGTGTTTGATTGAAGGCAACAAATTAAAACAAATTAGAGATAATGGCTTGATAACTAAAGAATTTGAATGTTTTACATTTATAGAGGGTAAAAAGACACTATACATTAATCTTGATTTCAAGGCGCATTTCTCGCGAGCCGAATTTGTGCAGAAAATAAGCAATTTTTGTGAAAAGATACGTATCAATGAAGTGTGTATAATTAAAAATAATGATAATATAGAATTTATCAAAAGTGTTTGTGATGAAATAAAAACACTTAGTAATTGGTCCGGACCGCGAATATGCATATTACGAGGCGTAAAAAGAATAGATGACGACAACGAAAAGACACTTATTATGAATGAATTTCATTTACTGCCATCCAGCGGTCATGCTGGAGTGCGCAGAATGATAAATACAATCAAAAGTCGATACTATTGGCCAAGTATCGACAAGGATGTCCAGGAATTTGTTAAAAAGTGTGCAAAATGTCAGAAACATAAATATTTTCGTAACATAAAAGAACCGATGGAAATTACCGCAACAGCTTCCTCGGCTTTTGAAAAGATATACTTAGATGTAGTGGGACCCTTAGATAGAGACGAAAATGGTAATTGTTATATATTGACTATGCAGTGCGAGTTAACAAAATTTGTACAAGCTATTCCTTTGCAAAACAAAGAAACAGTGTCCATTGCAGATGCATTGGTTAGACAGTTCATATTAGGATTTGGTATTCCGACGACAATAGCTACAGATCGAGGAACAGAATTTATTTCTGCAACCATGGAACAGGTTTGTAAAATACTTAATATAGAAAAATTATCTTCTACAGCCTATCACCATCAGTCGATTGGAGCTCTTGAAAATGCTCACAAAACTTTGGGTGCATTTTAAAGGATCCAGTGTGACAATCATACGGATACATGGAGCTATTGGTTACCATTTTGGTGTTTCAGTTTTAACAACACAGTACATTCAGAAACAAATTACACGCCATATGAACTTGTTTTTGGAAAACTTTGTCAAATATATATATATATATATTGTACCTTCAGGGGAAGAAAAGCATAAGTAGTATTATTTTGTATTTTAGTTATTAATATGATTGAAAAGTGCGACTAAAGTTACATATGCTCAATTTTTTTTCATATTTTTATCATTAATTCTGGCGATTTTATGCTAGAAAACATAATTTACATCGTTTGACAGTTCAGATTTTTTAATTGTTAAATAACGGAATAAGTGAATATACGCAAAAATGTTTATGTTTGTTTAAACGTTATAACACTTATGATATTCATATGTACCATAAGTTATATAGACAAATAAAATAAATATGATAATGGCCTTTATCCGCTTTTTCTTTTTCTTCGCTACTTAATTACACCGATTATGATGTTTATCCACAAATTCATAAATAGTTGAACGTCACTTCTTTTAACTGCGAAAATTTTTGAGAGCTTCGTTCGAAAAAAAAAATGTTAAGTAAGTCGCTACTTTTTGCGAGGTGATACGTCGGTGCGGTGCAGGCTAGTGATATTCGTAACATTTTTTTTAGATTGTTATGAGCAAAATCAATTAACTACCAACAACTCAGTGACACATGATAACTTTTACAATGAACCTTCTACGAGTCGCAGTTGTAGACGAACCTCGATAAATTATAGACTGAGTGTGTCATCAAATGAAGAGCCATTTTCGTCAGCAGTCTCCGAATATTTACCACATTCAGATGCAAGCCCTAGTTCCAGTCCGGTTCGAGATTTTAACGATCCTATGACGTCATCGTTGTTGAAGAATCTAACTTATAGTTTAAACGAAGATGCTTTTTTATCAAGCCCATTTACAACCAAAAACCAGAACGATTATAATATTTTCATAGCTTCACCAACACTTATTTTTTACCAAGTCCTCAAAAGTCAATACCTACCACTAATACCATAACCACTAGACCAGAAATAGATAACACCTCCTGTAAAAGGCTAAACCAAGATGAAAACATCAACCAATATTATAATTTAGAAGAGCCTTACATTGACGGTATTGCACCTTTGCGAAATGAAATTGTTCTAGAGTCGATATCCAATAACAACCACGAGGAAACAATTACTGCTCCAATTCTTCCATGTAGTTCTACATCTGTCGCTTCAGCTAATGTAATTAACCTTCCAACGCCTCCCATCACATCAGAAAATAATATAGTCGTAGCTCCGGAAATAGAAGCAACTTTGTCTCAGCCATTATTAGTGACTGAGTGTAACCACAAGCCTAGAAAAAGACAAAGAAACATGGACACGTGGACAAAAGTAAAAACAAAGAAACTTCGAAATATAGGCGCACAGCCACAAAAATGTATGAGAGATCCTTGCGCCTGTAAGCTGAAGTGTTTTGAAACTATTCAACATGAAGATAGACTGAACTTATTTGAATATTTTTGGGCTACAGGCTGTTATGAGACTCAGTGGCATTTTATTTTGAATAGCACAGAAATTAAGGAACCTAAAGTTATTAAAGTTCAGAGAAAACGGGAAAGAAATCGAACTTTGATATATTATTTGCCAACTAAAAATAATGTAGGACACCTAACAAAAATCAAAGTTTGTAAAACAATGTTCTTAAACACGCTTGGTATTAAAGAAATAACTGTTTACACGCTCATTGATAAGTATAATAATGGTAAACAAATAACACACCTACGGGGTACGCACGCAAACAGACCTCATAGAACAACAAATGCCACGGTGCAAAGTGTTATACAACCAATACAATCCCGTGTATTGAGTCTCACTATTTACGGCAATAAACAACCCGACAATATTTATCACAGGAGTTGAATATTTCAAAAATGCACCGGTTATATAAAATCTGGGTTTCAGAAAACAAAAACTTTCAAAATATAAAAGTTGCAAGTGAATACCAATATAGTCAAATAGTTCGTACGCAATTTAACCTTTCTTTTTTCAGATCAAAAAAGATAATTGTAAAATATGCAGTGAATATGAAAATACAACGGAAGAGGCTAAACTCCAGCTCCAGCAGCTGTACGAGACATATTAAAAATAAGAATATTGTTAGAGAAATAAAGAATAAAGAAAAAGATACAGCAGACCCAAAATTAAAAAACTGTATTTGATTTGGAGAAGGTACCAAGTCTGCCTCAGTCAAATGTGGATATTTTCCATTATAAAAGAAAATACCCAGCATATAATTTTACTATATATATTTTAATTTCACGACAGGGTTATTGTTTCTTATAGCATGCACAAATTGCAAAAAGAGGTGCTAATGAAATTGCAAGTTGCTTGTATAAATTTTTTGAAGCGGAAGCTTGTAGAGGCATAAAGTCTCTTTCGTTATACTCCGACAATTGTTCTGGCCAGAATAGAAATAGATATGTTTTTTCGATGTATCTATTTGTTTCGCGTACATTACACTTAGAAATTATTCACCGATTTTTACAGACAGGACACACACAAAATGAAGGTTATTCAATGCATGCCTGCATAGAAAAAAAAATGAAAATAAAACACTATATACACCCGATCAATTATATGAAATAATAATAAATGCGAAAATTCAAAATAAATTTATGGTTAATGAAATGTCACAGGCTAATTTTTACAATTTTAAATCTCAAGTAACATCCGTTGAAAACTGGATTCGCGATACAAACGGAAATAAAGTCCTTTTCTCAAAAATAAAGGAAGTTAAAGCATGTCCTGAGACACCAAACAATTTATTTTTAAGTACGATTTTGAAAATCATGATTACTTGGTTTAGACACTACGAATCGTAGCTCATCACGTACACGTAAAACAAATATTAGCCCTCAGAGTTCAAATGAGTTCATGCCTGCTTATGACAAATGTCTACCAATGTCGAATGCTTTATATAAGGATTTAATAAGTCTATGTGATACCAATGCTATACCATTGCATTATTATATATATATATATATATATATGTATATATGTAAAGCCCTTTTTATATATATATAATAATATATATATATATATATATATATATATATATATATATATATATTAAAGGTTTTATAGAAATTTGGTAACGCAAAATGATACACCTAATTTAGAAATTTTTGATACGTCGGATGAAGATTAGATTAGTTTTTAGTTCTCATAACTCTATAATAACTCTATAATAATTATATCAATCCTTGTAATAATAGAAAAGGTTTCATAAGGCTGACTTGATAATCAAGGAGAACAAAATTACTTGTTGTATAATATTATTATAGTTGTCTGTTAATTAATTTAATAGGCAATAATATAAATCAAAATTATGTGCCTGTTTACAACTATTTTGTGATAACTGTAGAATTTTTAGGATAGTTAGGTGCTCGAATTGTCTAAGGACAAATCATTGTTACTTTTATGGTTTATGGTTTAAGATATTTATTTTCTCAAAAGAATTAAAATTCACTTACATGAGAAATGTACAACACTAACATAATTTTATATTAAACGGCACGACACACAAACAAACTGATAACAAAATAAAAATACACCATTTTTATAGTCTAAACAAATAATGTTAAAAGTTATGAGTACATAGTAAAATAATAAAAGAAGGCTACCAAAGATTAAGATAAACATTCATGACGGTTACTTTATTTGGTTCGAATGCAAAATTATTCATATACCGACTTTTAGCTTCATTTAATCGAATTTACGTTGAACAATAGAGACTGGAAGTAATACTATGTATTTTTGATTGAGCGCAATTATTACTTGGTTGGATTGGTTGGATAATTAAATGACCTAATGAAATTTAATAACTATATCTGTGTTTATATGTATACTTGTTAAGAATTCCCTTTTTAATGTTTTGTTTTATTTGCTTTTTTTATTAGTTATTAGTACATACATACATATAAGTATATATAATTATATTTTTATATACATATATACACACATATACGAGTATACATACATATAGACACATATTTATATTACTATAAAAGTAAGGCTTATTAATCATAATTTTACTAGATCGAAGCTGATATTATGCTAATTTTAAATTTTGCATTTTAATTTACCTACCAATATTATAACCACCCAATCAAATTAAGCACAATTTAACGAAGAAGTAAACCACCTTGATTATGTGTTTAGAAAATAATGTTTTAGTAATCTTTTAAAGGTTGTCATAGATTTGGCATCCCTTATCTCTTTTGGTAGTTTGTTGTAGATTAGGGCACCTTCATTTAAAATACATTTTTACCGTAGTTAGTACGTGCTGTGCGTAGTTTTAATTCTCTGTAAAGTCTTGGTCTTAGTTTTGTTATAGGTTTATTTTTTGTAAAACTTAATTCTGTGTGAATGCTTTTATTTAGTATTTTACGTACTAAAATGCAAGTATAATATTTATATGTTAGTGATATATTCATGATTTTAGTGTCCTTATAAACTTGGGCTATTTTAGTAAGAAAGTCGTAATTATATAGTACCTTAATCAGTTTATTTTGTGCTACCTGTATTGCTTCTACATTGGTTTTTGCTGCTGTGCCCCAGACTTCTATAAGGTATTCAATATGTGGTTTGACTAATGAATTATAAATAGTGTATCGCACACTACGTGGGAAACATTTTACTATATTTTACAGTGCGCCAGTGAGAGAAACCAATTTAGATTTAATATTATTTATATGACATTTAAATGTCATATGATTATCCAACCGGAGACCAAGGTATTTTTCATTATCTACTTTAGAAATAGGTTCACTATTTATTGTGAGAGGATTATAGTTACAAATTTTTTTATTTTTTGATGTAAAAATTACGTAGTGTGTTTTAGTAATATTTATAGTTAGACGGTTAGATTGAAACCACATATTCAATGTGTTGAGATCTGATTGGGCATCGGTGATTAATTCGTTAATTGAATATCCATAGTAAAACAGACTTGTGTCGTCTGCATATAATGTAATATTACCTTTTAATCCTATATCCTTAATACTATTGATGTAAATCAGAAAAAGCAGCGGTCCTAATATGGAACCTTGCGGTAATCCAAAAGTTATTAATTTTGGTTCACTTTGATTAGAGCCAATCTTTACTACTTGATATCTATTGGATAAATATGAAGCAAAAATTTTCAATGCAGATCCGGAAATACCCATATATTTCAATTTACACAGTAACAGTTCATGACTAACTGTATCAAATGCTTTTTTAAGGTCTATAAAAATACGGAGTGCTATTTGTTTATTGTCTATGCCAACTTTGATTTTTGTGACTAAATCTATTGTAGCTGAAAGAGTGTTCGATTTCGGTCTAAAGCCATATTGTTTATCGTATAATATTTTTTAGAATTTAAATGGTTTGCAAGACGATTATATAACACACGCTCGAAAATTTTGGATAGTACTGGTAATATTGAGATTGGTCTGTAATTTCCGGGATCTGATCTAGTTCCTGTTTTATATATCGGAGTTACTTTTGCTACTTTTAAACTGTCTGGAAATACGCCTTGTTCAAAGCAGTTATTGATGCAGTTTACAAGCTCATCAGCAATTATGTTCTTGATACATTTTATAGATTTCGTACTTACCCCTTCTAATCCAGTGCTAGTGTTAGGATTTAAACCATCTATAATTTTGTCGATTTCGTGTAGAGATACGGGTGGCCAATAGGATATAACATTACTTCCAGTTTCGATAAATATTGCGTCTAATACAGTTTGATTAACTTTAGGTATTTGATTTGCCAGGACTGAACCAATATTTGAGAAAAAATAATTAAAACATTCACAGATAGCTTTATCCTCACTAACGACAGACCCCACATGCGTGATCAGTTTATTTGGAGCTGTAGTTTCTTTGATCTTGTTATTTGATAGATCGTTGATCAGTTTCCACATTTTTGCTGGTTTGTGTTTACAGTCTTTAAACGCCTTATAGTAGTATTGACTTTTAGTTTTTTGTATTATATTGCTTACTTCATTTCTTTTCTTCACGAAGTTATCTCTTGTACTTTCATTGTCTGGATTAGTTTTATATTTGTGCCATAATTTGTTTCTTGCGTTTATTTCGTTTAAGATATCTTTATTAATCCAATCTCTTCTTGGTAGGTTGAGGAATTTGATCTTAGTGTCTTTGCTTTTATTTATACTAGATAAGATTTTTTCTTCCAGTTTTACATATTCACAATTATTACTGTTTCCAGTTATTGTATTATACAATTTGGTGTAGTTTATTGATTTATATTCATATTTTGATACCGCATCTTGCTTATACTTCTTGATTTCAAAATAGATCTGTTTGTGATCAGACATAGCTGATTCTATTATAGCAAGGTGAAATTGTTGTTCTTTGAGACTCGTGCTGACATGGTCTATAATAGTATTCGAAGAAGAAGTTACACGGGTAGAGTATTCGGGGTCAATTTTATTTAATAATTTGTAGCCACGCTGTTCCAACATTTCCATATACATCGAAGTTGTACGTTCTTGAGATAATAGGTCTACATTGTAGTCACCAAATACCACTGCCCTTCTGCGCGATTCCAATTTTGTTGAATATGTTTCTATGAATTTATTAATATTGCTGTTGTCGGGTTTTCTATAGATGACACCCACATCCAGTGAATACTTGTCAACATGTATCCATAGATAATGATTGTTATCAAGACATTGTTCTTCTATAAGATTATGTTTCATGATATTGTGTGCGAAGATTGATACTCCACCACCTATGCTACTAGGTCTAAAGTTATAGTAATGGGTATAACCACATATCTGAAATTGTTTAGCTTCCTCTTCACACTTTATCCAGGTTTCCGTTATCAAAATTAAGTGAATCGTAAATTTAAAACATTTTAAAATACATATTAGTTCGTCAAATTTGCCTGCTTTAACTATACTGCGTGCATTGACATACAGGCATTTTAAGGAGTCTTTTGTCGTTATGATATTCTCATACTGAGAAGCTAGTTGGTAAGAAATATTTTTAGAGATTGGAATTTGATTATCATAGAATTTTGTTAGTTTTTTGGCTTAATTTTAACTATTTTAGGTATACCTTTGTTGTATTTGATAGTTAGGTTCATCTCTCCATTGTCCTTACGATGTTTCAACTCTTCTTTAAGTTTTTTGTAGAAAGATTGTTGTTGAGGCGTTTGATCTGGGAAAATTTTAATGGGATTCAGTTTTTCATTACTTTTAGAACGTAATACAAAAATAGCTTCTTCTGGTGTTGAGAAACACACTTTGAGTAGGCGTTGCTTGTCTGGCGCATACTTTCCCAGGCGTGTTATACTTTTTGGTTCTGTACAATCGTTTGAGATCTTTTTTTAATAAACCAAGTACTTCTCTCTTCTCAGCCTCTTTTCTATCTTTATAGTCAGATATATTTGTTTCCATTAATCCAGTTATTATGATATTCTTGCTTCTAACCAATCGATCAGAAAGTTCTGCCATCACAGTTTCTTCTATTGTGCTACTAATGGTTGTTGTGGTAAGTGGATCTATTAGTTTTGTACTTTGAAGGTTTTTTATTTCAGAGTCTAACGTTTCTATTTGTTTATCTTTTTCATTATATTTACTGATCAAGTTCTCTATATTACGCTTTATTTTCTCATTTTCGAATCGGAGATTATCTATCTCGGTCTTAAGATCTTTTACATGTTCTTTAAATGAACTTACACCTTCCGATATCCTGGTTATGGCTTCCGTTTGATTCGCGTTAATTGAGGTAAGAACTTGCATCATTTCTGCCATTCCCTTTCGTATTTCGCGTAATTCTTCTTTAATATCTTGATCACCAGAGTATTTTCGCTTACTACGAAATGTAACTTGTGGCGCTGTAGAAACGTCTGTGGTTGACTCTCCCGTCGACAAATTGGGCTGTGAACCACTAAGTCCGGTACCTATGCCACTTCTAGTAGGTGGTGAGCGTATTGGCATCATGTTGATCTGTGGCGCGTGTATTCACTCGCAGCGTACTTAGCAGAGTAATGTCACAACAGCGTAGGGGAGTGTATGCCGATTTATTATATGCACCTTATTAACTTAAGAATTAAAGTCGTTTAAGCATATTTATATTATTTTTGTAATTACAACCGATAACACGTCCACTTAGTTCGGTGTCGCGCACTATCATCAAGTTTTATAGTTATTTTGTATAATTTGATTAGATAATAGGTATAAGAGCTTTAATAGCAACAATAATATTTATAGAAGCGCAAACTTTTGTTTTTATAAGTGGTATTTTTTTAAATTGTAATACTTTTAAAGTGGTTTTGTTATTAAAATAATAGTGTACCTTAAATACTTTGGTTGTGGTTGTTGAAATGCAAATATAATTTGTTTTGAAATATTTTTATAACTACTCAAAAATATATAATTGTCTACAAAATATAAACGAGCCTTTTTTTGCTTTACCAATATTATTAACTGATTTTGTACCAACTCCAGATATACAAAAAATAAATTCATTTCATAGACTTAATATAGTGGTATTATTGTTTACTAAAGTTCACCTATATAATATATAGATGAAATAAAACGGTAAGTTTAGGTTATTGAGTAAAAACAACAAATGTTAAAAGGAAATAATGCAGTAAAAATATTTACGCTCACCAAAAGTATACTGCTAATAAATTCAATAGAGTTGTTAAAGGATTTACTTTCATTACAGTAAGTTAAATGTAGGAGAAGATGTACATAAACGCTAATATTTATAATGGAGCATTCAGAGTTAATTAGGAATAGTAGCACAACATATTAATTTCCATATATTTAGAAAATGATAAGTATAAATAATAAAGGAACATATTCACATTGTGTTGTATTTTTTTTATCTGTTTAAGGATGTATAAAACATAATTTTTTGTCTACAGAAAAAAAAGTTATAGGTATTTTAAGAGTTTTTTTGCTCTCCTGTAAAATATGGGGGCACGGCAGTGCCCCCGCCAAGTTGAGCAAAAAAGCGGCACGGCCGTACCATCTTTTCTCGAAGCAATTCAGGCCATTTTCGACCCCTTATAACTTCATGGTCAATAAAACTAGAAGCCTGAATTTTCAGTGACCGAGTAATCATTGTATAAACATGGTATATTTAAAATTTCATTCAATTTGAACCAGTATTTTAAGAATTGTAACCAGTCAAAATTTCTTAATTTTGTCACTCACTGACTGACCGATCATCAAAACTCTAAGGCACTTCTAGCAGACATAGAAGCTTCAAATTTAGAATATAATTAGTGTTTAGTGTATAAATCAAGGAAAAACTAAAACATTTGTTAATTACTGTCCAGTTATTTAGATACACTAACTGCATAAATAACTTTGTAATCCCATATAAATATATAGAATTACAAAGTTATATTTGCAGTGAATGAATCTGTGTACTTGTATATGTATTACAGGTGTACATAGGGTACGTTGTTGGTACTCAAGAAGTAGACGGTACCGGAAAGGTAAAAAATTAGGACTATCTTATATACAAAAAGAAATGAGATACCATTAAAAACATAACTTGTAAAAAAACCAAGTCTCGCAACTCAGTTCTTCTACCGTAAAAGTTGTGAGATCCATGTAATACCAAGTCAGTTAATTTATTCAGTTCCTACTTAAGGGTCCTTCTGTTTTAAGTTATTACGTAATTAGCTAACCTAACAACATTTTATAGTGACCATATCAATTTTAATAGTCTTTTATGTTTTAAATATATAAATTGACTTGCCAATCGCATTAAGCTATCTAATTTAATATAATACGTATTACTTGTGAGATACATTGTGGTTTCATGCGATGGCCAAGTCAATCTATATATTTAAAACATAAAAGACTTTTAACATTGATATGGTCACTATAAAATGTTGTTAGGTTAGCTAATTATGTAATAACTTAAAACAGAAGGACCCTTAAGTAGGAACTGAATAAATTAACCGACTTGGTATTACATGGATCTCACAACTTTTACGGTAGAAGAACTGAGTTGCGAGACTTGGTTTTTTTACAAATTATATTTTTAATGGTATAGCAATTTTCATCTTATGCTTTTTTTTTCCTGAGTGTATGATATATAATGTGTACTATTAAACTATACTTTAATGTGTACTTCTAAATATTCACCTTTCTTGCAAGTGCGTGCAAATTGTATGGTGTTGCCTCCAGCCCCGCAGAAGGCATCGATGACCGTATCAAAAGCAAATTTGCTCGCTATATGCCAAGCGACATTCTCTGGAGTTACGCTGAACCAACTCTCGCGATCCAATTTTATACCTTCATCGAACCTAAACCCAAACAACAGTTCATAGAAAAATATGCATGAGGGTGAATATAAATTAATTTAGTAAGAGATTTTTAGCTTAGATAACATCTATTTAGGCAATTTAAAAAAAATCATGTCATCTTAGGATGAATTGTTAACAACCTGTGATTATACTAGCTCTTTATATCCTTGATACTCTTTATGAGCGAAACACAGTGCATGTACGCAGAAAAGGAATATCCACCACATAGAGGTGGCTCAGGAATTTTTATGGCATTCCTTCGCAAATATGACGTTAGTTCTGGCTGGTATTTAAGCCCAGATACAGTGAAGCTTACAACATTTTTACATTAATATTATGCAATATAAATAATTTTTTAGATTATCTCACCTATGAAACAATGAGTGTCTCTTCTTCCAATATTTCAACATTTTCGGCTCTCCTTGTAGTTCCACAGGCATATCTGAAATATCAATTTCTTCCCCTGTGAGAGCTCTAATTTCGAGTAACGTTTTGGTCTCCGTCGACGTTTTGTTTGATCGGCTTGCTGAGGAACTAAAATTAAAATAACTGATATATTTTGGAATATCTAAATTTCTGCAGGACAATTTGTAAGATACAGGAAAGATTGTAATGCCTATAGTATAAAACAAACGTAAACTATGGATTTTTCGGAATATACAAAACAAAAGTCTTTTTCTTCTAAAGCTGCTTGTAATAGTCAACTGCTTAAAATATCCTATAGTCTAGCTGCCTAGCTGTTTCAACACTGGTAAGATTTGTAATCTTTTTTACAGCATATGCTGCAGAACTAAATCTGCTTGCTAGTATTGATAATGGGGCTTCCGTTGAAGCTTCGCGTCTAGTGTGATCCACACCTAGTGTCAGCTCCTCTCCTTAAATTTATATTGGTATTTAGATATTTGACATTTGGGGTTATGAATTTCATACATTTAGTTTTAGTGCAATTAAAATGCAAATTATTAACATTATACCAATTTACTAATTTAGATAAAGCATTATTCTTTCTCATTGCAACCAAAGTTTGCACTATCAGTATGCTTGGAAAGCACATTGGCGATTACAGCACCATGTGTATCACTCCTTTGAGGTTACCCCGTTCGTCGGTACGGACATTTACATCTGATACAACTTGTCGGTCACGGAAGTCAGTCTCAAAGAATCCGAGCCGACCAATCTACCTAGCCATATGCGCAGTACAGAATCATAGAGAACAAGTGTGAGGATTGATTGTCATAGTTGTCAATCATCAAAAAAAATTTCTTGATAGAAAACTCAAGTACTGATTATTGGCAGAACCGCGTTTTCCAAACTAGGACCACGTGATCATCAGTAGCGTTTACAACCAGTAGACTGACAAGGCAGTCGATTGAGTTACTGCTATGTTGACTGACTTGTTTTATAGTACTTTGACAGAGGGGAGGCGTATATCTGAGTGTAACGACTTCCGTCCCGTATAGTCCGCGCGGCTCTAAGAACCTACTCAGTTGATTTTAAAGTGGTTTTCATCAACATTCAATATTTTTTTTCAGGAAGCTTTTCATTAAAATACCGCCTATAAATTTCATATTTATCATAAAATAACTAACATCTGATGAAACAGAACTGTTGCAAAGCCAGTGCAAGACGCTCCTAATTATTTTTAATTCTTTACCTTAACCACAAACTTAATCTACTTATACAAATAAAAAAAATTAAGTATTTGTTTGTAATGTCAAAATAACAGCTTTTTACTAGATGCATATGTAAGTATATACGGCACTTATAAAAAAAACACAATTATTAAAGATTTTGTCTGTCTGTTTGTTCTGGCTAAACTCCGAAATGACTGGACCAATTTTGACGGGACTTTCACTGGCAGATAGCTGATGTTATAAGGAGTAACTTGGCTACTTTTATTTAGGAAAAAGAATTAGGGTTTTGCGCAAAAATAAATTATCGCGTAATAAATTTCACGCAGGCGAAGTCGCGGGGAACAACTAGTTATGAATATAAAGTAAAACCAAAATACTTAACACAAACAATCACAAAGGAAAGATAAAGCATTATGTCTAATTCGACAATTTTAAATTACCTTTACTTTCTATTACTTCATCAACACAGTTTGTTTCATTTTCATTGTTTTCTTGTGTATCGCTAAGTGAATTATCCAAATCTGGGGGTAGTGCAACAGTAGCAGCTTCCTCAACTATATCTTTTTCTACATAATTTTCATCATCTACAACTTTATCTTGCACATCAAAACTGTTATCATGTGCATCTACAGTAGCATCATTTTGGATTGGTTCTTGTATAATTTTCTCATTGTCTGATTGAACTTCTGGATATTCATCATCTGTCTGCATTTCTCTTTCTTCTTGATATTCATGACCCTGTTTTTAATGTAATTTTCTTCAAATATAATTTGATATCATTATGGTAACATTTAATCTACAATGTTTTACAATTACTTGTTATATAAAATTAACAAGATAGCTCTAGTAATTATTGGGGGTATTTATTTTTAAAGGATATCCTATAGTAGTAATAATGTATATTATTTGTTGGCTTCTATCTTTGCATTAGATATTATGCTTATTGAACTACAAATTACAGGTTGTCACATGATTAAAAGTAATAAAAACAGAAGAAAAAGTACAAATATTTCAAAAAGGGACTTTCTGGGCATGAGCCCAATGTATGCATTCCTTAAATATACTACTAATAGAAATACCCACAAATACATGCACAGCAGGCAGGTTGGTGAGTGTAGAGGTAGAGAGAGACTGCATGCGTGATGCTGGATGCACACATTTGAATTTATTTTCGGCCATCTGGTGGACATCAAAGCCATGTTTGTCAGTCAGCAGTGAGCACTGCATGGAGGTGGAAGAGACCAACTGTAAACTTTTAAAGGCTGAAGAAATGTAATGGTAATATTCATAGGCTGTTTAATAATAATCTTTCTTCAGTTTATATAAAATACATGAAATTTTCATCTTTACATCATGGTTTTTAATGTGATATAAAATATAAAAACTGCAATAGTCAAATAAGATTTTTTTTAATAAAATAAAATTTATAATACTACACTCATTAAGCCGCAATATCTCAAGGAATTTCTTATTTATTAAAACAAATATTTTATCATACTTGTAAATATATTAGAAGTAAAAAATATAAAAAAATGTATTACTGTGTTTACCGTATCCACACAAGGATTCCCGTCATCATCAAAGTAAGTCTTTTTCGGTGCTCCGAATTTCTTGTAACGCGGCGGTCGGAGTCTCCCCAATCTTTTCCTATAAACTAGTTGCCCTTTAGGCATATTATCTGAGTGTAAGCAAAAGCCCATTATTTCAAATGTTGCTTTTATCTTTTCAGAGGACACTTCTTCTTCATCAACTTCATGGCTAAAATGTTTTAATTTGTATAAAGATAAAATTGCACTGAATTTTTTACCAAGTCAAGTCAAGTCAATCGCATATCTAACAAGTATTGAAATATATTAAAATTTATTATACTGTAACAAGCATAGAATACTATAATACACAATAGAATGGCTGTCAAACTTATTTTGTATGAGATTCCGCATCGCCGGGAGCACACATACAAGCAATTACGTCGTATTATCACTACTACAAACCCGATTCGCTGTTTTGACGGACTGAGTAAATTTACACATTTTAGACTTTTGATTAATGTTCAAAATCATCATTAAAAAAGTCGTTTAAATTTTAATACATATTTATATGTAAATAGTGTGCAATTTGGTATTTTCTAAATAATTTGGAAACAATTGATACATCAACACACATCTCGTGTTGACATTTATACATGTGAATTGACGTGTTAGTGACATTTTAGTGGCTACACGGGCTCCGCCCACTGCCCCGTTCTATTATGTATGTATTATAGTATTCTATGGTAACAAGCATAAGTGAATGATTCTTATGGAGACAAATATTAACTTAAGAAGATTTTAAGTACTTAGAAATTCATGTATTACCATTATTTAGTGTTTTTTTATATTATATAAAAATCAATTGCTGTCCGTAAGTCACGCTAAAACTTTAAAAAAAAGGCTCGATCGATTTTGATGAAATTCTTTGCGTTTGTTTGAATGGGTTCCTAGATGGTTTAGATTTAAATTTGATGGCGCTTTTGTCGAGGTCCAGAATTACCCGTGCGAAGCCCGGGCGGAACGCTAGTTTTTAATATTTTTAATTTGATAGATAAATATTAGATAAAGATCAGGATGGCTTACAACCATTTCAAATATAAGATGACAATGAATAACATTTACTATTCTTTTTAGTAGCTTTATGTTGTAATTAAATAAATCATACACAGAAACAGAAAACTTTACATTACTCCGCCATCAACAACAAAACACAAAAAAAAAACCTAAAAAACTAAAATTAACTAACAATCACTAATAATTCATAAAGAGTACTAATATAAATATAAATTACTTCGCAACCTTTTGCTAGCTAAATACAATGATATGTCTTACCTGGATTGAAGAGCACCTCCCGCCCTCCCTCAATTGCATGCACTAACTCCATCACCACTAGTCCCAGCACCACTAGTCCCAGCACCACTAGTCCCAGCACCACTAGTCCTAGCACCACTACTCCCAACACCTCCTCTGGTGATGTAGACTCTACGGCGGTCAGTCGCCGTAGAGTCTACATCACCTGAGGATGCCTCGTGTAGAGGCAAAACACGTATCGTATTATCGTCGATGGTGTGTCTTACGTGGAATAGTGGTGTTGGAAGTAGTGGTGCTGGGACTAGTGGTGACGGAGTTAGTGCATGCAATTGAGGGAGGGCGGGATGTGCTCTTCATCCAGGTAAGACACATCATTATATTTAGCTAGCGGAAGGTTGTGAAGTAATTTATATTTTTATTATAATGGATTTCTGCAAAGTAACGCCTGATTCTATCAATTATCATAAAGAGTACTAATGATCTCTTTTACTACAGCATTCCATACCATAACTGTAACTATCTGTGTATCCCTTATATAAATTAATATGCAACTAGATGCCCACTAAACCGTTCCGTCACAGACTTACATTGTAACATGCCATGACCAAACTACCAGCAAATTTACAAAGGGAATATTTGGTTGGTAACTATACCGCTAATTACATGTCATGCTACGTTAATAAAATGCTCTGCACAGATGATCAAGCGCGTTTCAACTGCGTATGAGCACAGTTGCCCAAAATAATAGCAATTATTACAAGTTCTCTTATAGATAATTTTCTAATAGCCATTGTATAGGAATATAAATTTTTTTACAACAACAGCATTCTTAACACCTCCTGATGCACGGAATATTAAAAAGGAGGAAGTGGCAAAGCGCTTAATTTGTACTAAAACCAAGTGCACTTTGCTAGTGTTGCCAAACTCACTCATTAGCAAGCAAAAAATATATTACCTGCTACTTGAACAATTATATAACCTAACACAAGAACAACCTACCAATGTTTAATCGTTATTAAAGTTGAAGTATGGAAATAAAGTTAGTAAAATTAACAACATTTATGTACCATGGATAGGTACCCATAATAATATATACTCTTTTTTGTATTAAAATATTGCATAATACGGCATATTTACACATATATCTATTAAGTAGTAACAGGTCAGCTTGTGATAATATAAGCCTGCAACTGACAATTAATTAGGTAGTACTGCCCCTGTTTGAAACTTCACGCTTCATCTTGCTTTTAATATTCCATGTCTTAGTGTGTTTCTGAACAAAATGAGCTACAACCTATAGAATAAACATCATAGTTGTTCACATATTTAATGGATATGATATGGCCACTGAATACATTGTATATGTGTATGATATGTAGTTGATACATTACAGTGACTGCCTACTTTCGTTCACAGTATGTGTCAATGTAGTGTACTCAGGTCTTAAATCTGAGCTCTCATATAGAGTCTTCCATCATTTCAGCCCATCACAAGTTTACTATTGAACATACATGGGTAAGTATACATCTTTCTGATCAAAGGCCAAAGAGGCACACTGTTTAATACCTCATAATTTATTATAATTTTGTTAACTATTTATTAATTTTTAATAAATTTATTTACCTACCTCCTTTTTAATGATACTGGTTTTTCATCAGGAGGATCATCATCCCCATCATCATAACTATAATTATGAATGTTACTGTTATTTAAAAGTGGCTGTGCATTACATATTTCAGTATTTTTGTTTGCAACATTTTCAGTAACCACTTCCTCATCCTTGTTATCATTATTATCACCATTGTCCACAACCTCATTTATTTCTGGTTCTTTTTGTTGTTCTTTGAGTAAATTCTGTAATAAAACACCAACTGAACCAATATATCTACTGCTTATTTTCTTACTTCGTTTCCTAGGTTTGCTGACTTTGTTTTCTAACTTAATTTTATCCACTTGCTCTTGAACTTCAATTACAGACGGTATTTCTTGAGAATTGCCATCACTGTTTTCATAATCTACTTCTAACATTCTCTTTTCTGTCGCAACATCTATATTTGTTGTGGTTTCATCATACCTTTTAGATTGGGCTTCATGACACTCTATGTAATTGGCATAGTGTAAAGCATACTGTTCCCCAAAATGTTTCTTCCATAAAAATTGCCAGTATTGTTCAGTATCCATCTCTTCAGATTCTGGATCATAATTTTCATCAACATTTAAATTAGCAATACGAGTTTGATCATTTGATTGGTCATCAGATGGGGATGAAGAACCACTATAACTATCTGTGGATGTGGATTCAGATGTGACATGACTTGATGTAACATCATGACTTGAAAGAGTCATTTTAGTAACATTAGTCATTGAGTCTGTGCCTATAAAAGTTCGAGGACTTACAATCCTTTCATGTTCTGAACAGGACCTTCTTCTGCTTAAAGGCAACCACACCTCCTCTTTGTTGTAACTTGATTTGTCATTTTTTTCTATCTCATCTGGCTTTCCTTTCTTATATGGGTTGACTTTAGAATCATAGGAGAACTTTCTTTCTCTAATTATATCACCTTTTTCTTCAACTTGCTGAGACTTAATCTGCTCTGTATAAATAGAATCAGCAGATTGTGGCTTTGGTATGCTATTCTCATCCAAAATCAAATCATTATTGTCATCCAAATATGATGGGTTGATGTAATCACTATACTTTTTAATCCAAGATGCCCAAATAATTCTCTCACCATTGATGGCCCAGAATTTATCCCATGTATCTTCTGAAAGATAATTCTCTGTAATTTCACTTACTTGAGTTTCAAAATCTTGATCCATTTTCTCTATTTTATCATGGTTAATGTAATCTGATTGACAGTCTTGATAAGTAAGATCTGCACCACTATCGCTGGGTTGTAAAACATTAGATGTGATGCCATGTAACTGAGCGTCATGCTCATCAGTAGAGCAATAATTATCTGTGTGTGATGCACTGCAATAACAACTAGCACCTTCATCCTTCTGAAAATTAAATTAAGCCTTACAATAGTTTACTGTCCATTTATAAAATAAGGTTGTATGTATTTTTTTTTAGTTGAAGATACAGGACATCGAACATTTACTACTACTACTGAGAAATTTGTTTGTAATTAATTAAAATAGAGCATCTAAAAATAATTTATTTAATATTAGAAGCATATAATATTTTTTTGATTTCATTGTCATTCTCATTTAAGAATCTCTATGATATAAAAAGATAAGTACCATTAATTTAAAAAGAATTATAACCATACCTCACATTTAACCTTATATGAAGTATCAAGAGAGAAATGAACATGGGAATGGTCTTCTAGCCCCTGAGATTGTGAATCACGTAAAACTTCTATGTCGCTCTCACTTGCATCTTCTTTATCTACATAATAGGTCTTAACGCCATCCCTAAGTATTAAACGATTTAAATAGAATAAATTTACAAAGATGTCTATTAAATATGTATTGATTTTTTAATACTTTATTATGTTTATTCCAATCGCTGGGTGTTATACCAACCTGATGAATGCCCTACTACATAGACAGTAAACATAATTTTCATCTTCATAAATATCCTCCTCTCCATCGATATTGAAATGAAATTCCGCAAGTGGTTCCCAACGATGATAATGATCATAATATTCAGACATCATAACTGAAACATTCAATATTTATGTAATATTATATTTGAAAGTAAAATAGAGTAAAGTTTTTAAACCAGAAAATTGAAAAGAAATTTATAAAAACCTTATTAAATTTAAACAAAATCACAAAGTTGGAAACTAGAATAGTAATAGTAAAACGCTACATACTGCTACATACTCAGTTGATTATTGTTGTTTTTATTAATCGCTCGAGAGAGCAGGCAAAGGAACGAAGCCATACAGCCTTGTCTTTTTTTAAATTTGATATATAGAATTTTGAAGTGCAAAGGCCGGAACCAAGTCTTATTTTTCTTCTTACCATCACTTCAAAATCCATAAAGGCGGAAGCCAACTCTTATTTTCTTTAATTCTTCATATTTTCAAATACCACAAAGCCTAAAGCCAAGTTTACTTTATATTATAATCTTTATAAGTTTCAATCCATATTAGATTTATCAGCCCAGTTTCAAGGTTCCCGCGCTTTTTTTTATTTTCTTCACAATATGCTGATGCGTCACATTGCGAAGCCCTTGGGAGATTTTGACGACAGCTCAACCAAGCGGACAGTTGATGACGATAGCCACTCAAGTTCTTAAGGCGCCTAAGCGATCAAAATAACTTGAGGTTTATATCGACATCAAAGTACTTGTTTCGTCGTTTTCTCTAATAGTTCATACGCGCAGACAATTAATTCGCAAAATCACATCACTTGCACGAATTAAAATCCACTTCAAACCATTATTCAAGCGACAAAACAGGAGCGACAGTCCGTCGTTTCTGTATATATTACTCTACTCTATGGTCCATCGTCGGGTCGTCGGCCAAGTTCCCGCCAAAAACCTACTCAGTTGAGTATTGACAGCACAGAGATAACAGAAGTGACATTAGTGTTTTTTAATTCTATGCAAAGGGATCTATGCCCATAGGGACCTATCTGACGGGTCGTAGACAGAGAATCCTATTCTCTGTCTACGTGACGGGTATTACGTTCACAAAATTCTTTGCAATATGCTGATTCGTCACATTACGAAGTTTTTGGCTTTTTAGGAGAGGTTCGTCTTTTTATTTATTTATTATATCATTGGCTACAAGGGCTCCTTTTGAAAGGAGAAACATGTTTCCTACTTTAAAAGAAAACCTTATGGCGAAAAGTGACAACAATTGCTAAAGCTTTTGATAAGTTATAATGGTAACGGTAATGGTTTGTTTTATTGAGATATTTGAGGAAATCAGTCCTAAGGGAAAGGTTAATCCTTGCTCTTAGTCTCAGTCTAAGTTACGTCAATTGAATTAAATGTGAGAGCTATGGAGGGACACTGTCGGCTGGCTGATTGCTGCTCCTGTTTTTTTTTTAAATATTGGTATGAATTAGATTTTTATGTGCAAATGTGATGAGGTTTTGTGTTTATGTTTTGTTCATAATCTAACGATTCCCCCCCTCTCATAATGATAAATATATTAGGTATACTTAATTTACCCCCTTTCGATAAAATTATATATATGTGACCAAGATAATTAAGATATGTTTTGATCTTTCTAAATGATCTTTCTAAAGGTTTAATAATAGGCCGTTTGTAATATTTTGGCGTGATCGTCTTAGTTAGGACCCTTATTTACGTTGTGTTTGTTTAGTAACTTAGTTCTTTTAGGTGTCTTTTGGAAGAATGAATATTCGCTAGAGCAATTGAAAGCTGTTGGTAGTGCCTTATAAGCTAAGTGAACCCCGTTCACGAAGACAGGGCTCGAGAAAGGTTAAGACATAAAACGTCCCTATTCCACTTGTATTAGGTTTACAATATTAATTTATTATTATTTATCCCTTCCCGCTCGGAAAAGGCTCAAAATATATTTATACAAAATACCCGATACAAGGGCTTCGCTCTCCTACATTTATTTTTAAAAAAATGTAGGGGAGGTACACGGCCCCACACACGCCGTGCACGGTGAGTGCCAACCATTTTGATGCACTCCCCCCGAAGGGAAAGCTAATTCGGGAACTGGACCGTAGTCCACAGCAAAATAACTGGCGAACCAGTAAAAGAGGCTTGGCCCCTTGCTAGTGCGTAAGCACAAACATCGACCGAAGTCGCGCATGTCAATGCGTGTAAACGCCAAACAGAATACGAACGAATCCAGCCAGAGTGAATGTACGTCACACGGTTTAGGCAAATAGGCACAATGGCCGTAAACCCTCCGTGAGCGCCACCACTTGCCAGACCGCCGCTCCTGCGGACGTGATGTAAGTGTATGGCATCACCACCAATTGCATGACCAGCACGGCTACTAGCCGCAGAGCGTGTCATGAGTCTACCGCTCACTTCAAGGGAATGGGGTCCCACGTTGTGCGACTTTCGGCCGCAGCCTTGAGAGTCTCCTCAGATCCTCCCGCCAGCTACCACCCGCATGAGGTCGACACATATGCTCCACCAACCAATACAACGGCAGATATAGCCAAAAGGCAGTTATAAGATAAGAGTAATAATTCGCCACCAGAAAGGGTTTGTGTCACTGACGTTGAGTAAATGCATTTTCGATCATGTTTGTCTCACCCAGCAACAAGTTGCCTTCAATCATTCAAAGGTGGGAAAGTTACAGAGATATAATATTATGCTGTTATATAAAACATCGTGGAGGGCAGACAGTCTGCAGCCCCGCAATGAAGGGACCCGACTTGGGCAAAGCTACTTAGGTGTGAGTCAAACCAAGACGCAGAGAGCGCCATTGAGAATAGCGTCCCACCAAACAACCATCGCAGAGACGCAATGCTGCAGAACGCAACAAGCATCAATACGACTATCGTCGGGCTTACACCATCCCAAGGTCCCCCATACATCCCAGCAGACATCACCACCCGCATACCTCCATCTACCAGAACCACAAGAGAGCGTCGAATCAGGCGCAGCACACCCGCAGATCCATCACAAGACGCAATACCGCAAGTAGCAGTAAGCATCAAAGCAACTATCATACGGGTGGCGCCCCCTCACAACACACCCACATGACTCTTATCGACTTTGGTAACAAAGTTGGTATTGTTGTTATATAAAAATATCACCAACGTATCATAGTAGCACGCTACTAAGACGCCAATGAACAAAACTCCACGTATCATAGCGCTAATGCACTAAGACATGAAGTTGAGTATGCCTGTTACACTTAAAAGTGCTACCAAACACACTCATCATCCCAATCCGAAAGATAGACGACACATCGCTATGCGCAACGACGTCGCCCACATACGGTATGGGTGTGCGATGTCCACGGGAAAGCCGTATTGCTACAACAAACCCGCTTACCACCAGCACTAAGATGTTAATTGTATACCTCCATCAACCAGAACCACAAGAATGCATCGAATCAGGCGCAGCACACCCGCAGATCCATCACAAGACGCAATACCGCAAGTAGCAGTAAGCATCAATGCAACTATCATACGGGTGGCGCCCCCTCACAACACACCCACATGACTCCTATCGATTTTGGTAACAAAGTTTTTATTGTTGTTATATAAAAAATATCACCAACGTATCATGGTAGCACACTACTAAGACGCCAGTGGACAAAACTCCACGTATCATAGCGCTAATGCACTAAGACATGAAGTTGAGTATGCCTGTTACACTTAAAAGTGCTACCATACACACTCATCATCCCAATCCGAAAGATAGACGACACATCGCTATGTGCAACGACATCGCCCACAAACGGTATGGGTGTGCGATGTCCACGGGAAAGCCGTATTGCTACAACAAACCCGCTTACCACCGGCACTAAGATGATATGTCTAGGACACATCGGTTAGCGAGTCCAAGTTTACCTCGGACCAATTGCTCGTGAAGCAGCACACACGCCACCATAATATTCCTTTTCAAGTCCCTAATAAGGACTAGTCATTTTGCTACAGTACTAGGAGCAGTCAGTCACCCGACCACCCCATACAATGCTTATGCATCAAGGAGACCTCCTATAATATTGCTTTTGTATCATAGACCTTACTTTCATAAGTCATGTATATATAGGATTCGAACCCACGACCCTACTATTGTAATGCATATTAATCATAGAGACCTTCTATAGTATTGCTTTTGTATCATAGACCTTACTTTCATAAGTCATTCATATATAGGATTCGAACCCACGACCCTACTATTGTAATGCATATTAATCATAGAGACCTTCTATAGTATTGCTTTTGGATCATAGACCTTACTTTCATAAGTCATTAATATATAGGGTTCGAACCCACGACCCTACTATTGTAATGCAAATTCATCATGGAGACCTTCTTTAGTATTGCTTTTGTATCATTGAGTTTAATATCATAAGTCCCTAATATAGGACTAGTCATTGTGCTACAGTACTTCAGGCAGTCGGGCTCCCGACCACCCCATATATATGTACAACTGCAGGTATGTACCTCCGACAGCTTCCTCCATACAAGACATCTATACGTGAACACCTTCCATAACTTAGGAAAATTTTCTTTAATATGACTCTTCCAACTTAGGAAATTTCATCTATACGTGAACTCCTTCCACAACTTAGAAAAATTTTCTTTTATACACGAACACCTCCCATGACTTAAACAATTTTTAACAATTTTTCTAATTATCTTATAAACGTTATTTAACTTAATTTTATAATATTTTTTTGACTTGTATTTCTATTATTTATCTTATTTTAAATATTTTTTTCAAGTTTTTAAATAAATTTATTTATTACGAAAAACAATAATTTTGCCTTTAATTTACTATGTTATTGGGATAATGTCTGAAATATATTAACTTTATGTTTATTAATTTAACTTAATTGCTTAATATATATCTTTTAAGACTATTTTTGACGCCCCTTTATATTGAATTTAATTATTAATAATAATATTGGGCCGTCACAATAAGAACTATAAATGGAAAAGGTGGAAAAAATGCAACGATCTTGTTATAAACCTCAAGTTATCTTAAGTTCTCAAGGCGCCTAATCAGACAAAATAGCTTGAGCTTTATATT